ACGAGGGAAGATGGTTTCATCTGATGTCATTTCTGTCCTAGCTCTGTGTGGCTTCAGGGCATGTTGTTGGCCAGGAGCTGTGCGGAGGGTGGAGGGCCCGGCGGGTCCAAAGCCTGCTTACCACTGGCCCGGTGCAGGGAGAATGGCTCTCTCCCGCTGAGTGTGTGACTGGCTCAGCTCCAGGGACTCCCCCCCGCAACATGGTTGTTACTGGTTGTAACTAGAATTAGTTGTAACACTGGATGTACCTGTGTGTTTACACTGCTGGTTTACTCCCCAAGTGCCCACAACAGCCAGGGCTGGACCAGACCCAAAACAGCAGCTAAAATTCCATGCAAGTTTCTCATACAGGTGGCAGGGCCCTAAGCACTCGAGTTCTAGTCCAACCTTGGAAGAACCTGGTCTTAACTCAGGCCGTCCATTGCCCGAGTCCAGCTCCAGCTGAGTTTGGAACTCGCGTGGATGAGGCCCAAAGAGAAAAAAAAAGTGGCCCACTACAATTTCATGATCAAAAAGGACAATGCGGGAAGGCTGTCCGCTTTATTTATACAGAAACAGTCAAACTCTGGCTCACACTTGGTCAAGTGGGTGCTTCTAAGGATAATGCTGCCATTTGTTTCACCTAAAAACTCTAGAAGTTCCTTCTACAATTCATACTCTACAACTCAATCTTGTATCACAAAGAAAAGGAGGAACCTAAAGATCAAGGAAAGAATGAAACCCTCAACACAGGTCCCTTGATTAGCATAATGACAACGGGGACAGCCAAAACAGTACGAATAATAGAAGGCCCTTTTGCAAGACATCGTTATTGACATTAACCTCCAAGCTCACATGGAGTAAAAAAGCCAACTCCACAGCAGCAAACAATGCCTGGATGGAATAGAATTCCCTGGCAGGGTGGTCCGGTGTGCATGCAAAGGTGGAGCTGCATTCAGGTGGGGGGGGGGGCCCTGCCACACAGGGGGAAGTTCTTGCAGCCCTGCCTGCAATGGAACAATACTCTTCACACCTTCGTGTCCGCCCTCCCCCCCCACATCCACTGCACGGACCCCAGTAGTCCATGGCCTAGAGGAAACTGCTCAGCTGAGGAAGGTTCTGGAATAGGCATTTTTGACATCTCCAAAGAGCCAAACTCCCACCTCCTTCATCCTCCTCTGAACCCGCCCCTATCACTGTGCAGAGGTGTGGAGGAGGGGAGGCTGAGGGCCCAGGAGAGAGGTCACGAGAGGGAGGGGAGAGGCCCAGAAGCCCAGTGTGGGGCAGGAGGAGGGGCCACTGGGGCTGTGCAGGAGCCGGCAGAGGCGTGCAGAGGAGGCAGGCTGGGAGGGGACGCGGAGGGAAAGGCGAAGCAGCCTGCTGGCCATGGACCAGCGCCAAGCTCCACTGAGCGAGAGGAAGGCCTCATGACTTTGTTTACTTAGTACCAGGAAGTGATTGCTCAACCATCTTGTGCGAGATCACTCAGAGGCCCCCCCCCCCCCGCCACAACATCTTCTGTTGCTTGCGTACCCAAACACCCGCACCTTCAAACGCCTTCAGACATGAGACCTGTGCCACCGCCACCAGCAGCTGCAGTCTGCTCACTGCCGTAGGCCTCAGGCTTGCTCTGAGAAGGGGATGTTGGGGTCAGGGAGGCGGAGGAGCTGAGGTGCCCCCCAGTGGAGACTCAGCACTGGGCGAATCACTGGGGAGCCCCGCGGTGGGGACACAGCTGCCAGCAGCTACCTGGAAAGCAACCGAGCTCAACTGTTCAGTTCCTCTCTCACCTCCTGCGGACTTCCGATAGCCCCCACCCTTGCAGAGAAGCCTGGGAGTTGTGACGTCATTGGGGAGCTTGGCAAGATGTGGGTTAGGCTTGTTGGTGAGGTTACTGTCACCTGAGAGTGTGGGCTGATTCTTTCAGAGCTGGAGAAGTGAAGGCATCTGGTCTTTCCTGGTCCAGCCGTGGCGTTATGCATTTGGAGAGTAAATCAGCAAATGGAAGCTAACTCTGCCTTGAACCTAAATAATCATATTTTAAATCCTATTTATTTTTATTGGAAGGGCAGGTTTACAGAAAGAAGAGACAGAATCATCATCTGCTGGTTCATTCCCCAAATGACCCCAATGGCCAGCTAATCCAAACCCAGGAGCCAGAAGCTTCTTCTGGGTCTCTCACATGGGTGCAGGGTCCCAAGGCTTTGGGCTGTCCTCCACTGCTTTCCCTGCCCACACGTAGAGCTACATGGAAGTGGAGCAGCCAGGACACCAATCTGCACCCATACAGGATCCAGGTGCATGCAAAGCAAGGAATTAGCTACTAAGCCATTGTGCCAGGAGCTAAATTAAATAAATTGCATGCGGATAAGAGCAAAAAAGACAGTCTGAGGTCATTAGAAAAACAGAAATTCCAGACATCAGAACAATGTTTCACTGTTCCTGAGAGCTGAAAGTCAAGTCCAAGTGCTATCCCTGGCGGTGAAGAGAAGAGCGAGAAGGCAGACTCAGGTTGAGCATGGTGGGAGGCAGGTGGGGGGCAACCCAGAAGAGCGTTCAGGGCTGGACAGGCTCAGCAATGACTCGCAGCAGAGTGCAGCTGGGCCCCTGTTCCCAGAGTCACTGGTGTGTTAGTTCACCGAGAAGTCATCTGGCAGCCGAGACACATTTGAGTGTACTGCAATGAATAAATGATGCTTGCTAATGCTAACGACATAAACCCAAGCTATTGAACTTACTGTATAAATTCAGCTAAAGTCCTTGCCTTGAAATCCAGGATCCCATACGGGCCCCACTTCCCATCCAGCTCCCTGCTTGTGGCCTGGGAAAGCAGTTGAGGACGGCCCAAAGTCTTGGGACCCTGCACCCATGTGAGAGACCTGGAAGAGGCTCCTGGCTCCTGGCTTTGGGTTGGCACAGCACCAGCTGTTGCGCTCACTTGGGGAGTAAATCTTCAGACGGAAGATCTTCCTCTGTCTTTCCTCCTCTCTGTATATCTGACTTTGTAATAAAAAATAAATAAATCTTTAAAAAGAAAAAAAAATCAATAACCCAAAATTACCTGCTTACTAATAAAGTGCTTAAAGAAATGAACTAGGAATTTTCTTAAAAGCCTATTAAAAACGGAAGTAGTCTTTTAAACTTCAAAAACTAGAACACCACAATAAAAACGTTAGGAAAACACGTGCTGTGAATAAACAGGGGATACTGCCCCATAAAGAGCATTATATATTTACAGTGTTAATCTATCCCCACTCCAACTTTACCCCTGTAGTCAGTCTGACACTGACCACAATCCCAAAAGAGCTTTCTGACGGAGGGGATGGTCATTCCCACCCAACTAAAGAACATGTGAAACAAACAACTAGGCAGTGTCGTGTTACAAGGCTTTACTCATCACCTGGGTTTAAGCAGAAGCCCTGGCAGCTGGGAGGAGCGGGAGGAACAGGGAAGAGGCTGGGTGAGGACATTAACGGGGGCAGTTGGGGAGGGGTGCAAAGCAAGACCCAGCTGGACGCTCCAAACCGGATCTTACAAGTTCGGTTTTACACCTCTGAAGGTTCACCCATCCTGTCTCCATCTCAATTTCTTGTATGCGGAAAACAAGTGGAGGGATGCTTGGATAAACATGGAAGACCAAACAGATTAACCATGGTATTTTTTATTTTCTCCTGAAAAATTTTTAGAAGATCCAATTTTACTTGCAAATCAGTTATAAAAAGAGAAAAATCTTCCATCCACTGGTTCACCTCCCCCCCAACTGGATGCAATGGCCAGAGTTAGAACGGTCAATCGAAGCTAGCAGTCACTTCCTCCAGGTCTCTCATACGGGTCCAGAAGCCTGAGGAATTGAGACCATCCTCCACTGCTTTCCCAGGCAGCCAGCAGGGAGCTGGATGGGAAGTGGAGCAGCTGGGACCAGACGCAGTGCTTGTACGGGTTACTAACTCTGTAAGCAGAGGATTAGCCTGATACACCATGATGCTGGTCCCAGAATTCATTCTTGCTCCCCCTCATCTGTTGGTTCACTTGCCAAATGCCTGCAACAGTTGGAGTTGAGCTGATCCAAAGACAGGGGCCATGAGCTTCTTCCAGGTCTCCCACACAGGTGTAGAGTCCTGAGGCTTAGGGCCATCCTCTACGGCTGGATGGGAAGGTGGAGCAGCTGGGATTAGAACCGGTGCCCATACAGGATCCCAGAGCGTGCAAGGTGAGGACCTTAGCCACTAGGGCGCTACCACGCCGGGCCAAGGATTATTCTCGTACTAGTACTGCTACTTTTCCTAGACCACCTACATTTCCACAAGCTCTGACCCAGACTGCTTTCACTGCAGTCTTGCTTGCCATTGATTCCATTCCAGAACGGCCTGGAGTTCTGTGATGCCCTTGACTGCTGGTCATGCCCTGGGTCTCTCCTTACCTCCAACGCAGAGGGCAGACTCCACCAAATGCTCTCTCGCCTCTCAATCACCTCAGATAACTTCTCAAAGCAAAGCAGCTCACCAAGAGGGTGCATCTGAATTAACCTGCAATCCTGACTGCAAAACACTGCACTATTTCTACTGAGAACGCTTTGCTTTCATCCCCAGATATATATAATACGAGCCTTTTAAAAATATGACTAAAATGTAACTGAACAGGACTCTCTTCATCATCAACTTGGTGCCCAACCAGCACTAATGTGAGAGAAGATGCAGTGACAGCTGTGAAGGGCAGGGCCGAGGCCAGGTGGCCATGCTCATGCACGGGCAGTGACTCGTGGGCACCAAGTCCACCAGTGCAAGCCTTAGGGCAACTGTGAGAAATCGCCATTCGGCGCAATCACTGGGATAACCAGCCCTTTTCTCACACTCGTCAGCATTCTATGTGGGGCAGAGTTTACGGTGACTCATCAGATCCTGCAGCAGTTAACTGCAGGTTAACATGCCAGCCCCCACACTGCACACATACGTGTGAGCACTCCACATGGCCAGGCAGCATAAGCGTGGTGTTCATCTGGAAACAGAGTGAAGAAACTAGCATTGTTGTCATTGCTATTTATTTCTCTAGATCATGAGCAAGGAGATAGCATGACAATGGTGCTAAAAATGCAAAGTTGTCCTTGCCCTTAAGGGGCTCACAATCTTATTAGGGAAATACAACAGGCACAGGAGTGGGCTCCAAAGATACTGATACTAACTTACGCCGACTTGAGAAGGCAACAGGGCTCCAGAACACCAGATCGGCAGTCACGAAACCCAGATTCTCAACTACAACCCAACAGTCAGAGAACCTGCAGGCTCTTAGCCTGGCTGCACACTGCAGCAGTGAGACCCCAGGGTTCTCTCTGGGCTGCTGTGGGGGTTCAGAGCAAAGCTGAGGTGACGGTTGTGGAGCAGCATGCGCAGGACGCAGCAATGGCAGGAGGCGGAGAGAGAAACAAGGCGGCCCCGAGGCGGGCAGCAGAGGGGGCTCGGAGCTGGAGGGAGTGGCGTGCCACAGGTACGTGAGGGATGTGGGGAGCAGGCAGCCCGCTGCAGTCACCCCCACGTACCCGGGGGCCCAGGAGGGCAGTGAGCACCTCCTCCCTGCCATGCCCAGTCACAGGGCGCCATCCCAGAGTGAAGGAAACAGCAGAGGACAGTGGCAGCAGTCGAGCAAACACTCCCCATGGTTTCTAGAAAGTAAAAAATAACTTAACATTAGACTTCTACATTGCACAGCTGGTATTAATGTACTGTCCCATGGTTACATGTATACTAACTCCAAGGTGACACCTTTAGGGAACATAACTAAATCTCATAATCTAAGAGGACACGACGCAAATTATATTATGCCCTTAATGCCAACACTGGTTTTCTACTGTGTTCCACATACTGTGGAAATAAAATTGGTGAAGACAAGGGGCATTGCAGAGCCCCACGCCTGGTGGGTGAGCCACACTGCGCTTACCTGGAACGGACTGTGATGGAAGCGTGGGCCGGGAGGTGTGAGCGGGGTGGAGGGTTAAAGCACGAAGAGGTGGCAGCAGGAGGCGTTAAGACACTTCGTTCTCTTCTGAAGGCATTTCAGTCTGGGCTCAGAGGTGGATGGCTTCAGGACAAGCAGTGTGGCAGGAAACGACTCGGGGAAAGAGCTGGGAGGCTCGGGCCTGACCCCGACACTGGGGGGTGTGCGGCAGCACCCCAGAGACCAAAGGGCAACAGCTGCAGACAGATCTGTTGCCGAACACTGGCTTCTAAGGTCAGAAGAGTTGTTCCGTGCTCTTCTCAACAAACCAAACTGCTCCCAAGCACAGCCCCCTACTGCCTAATGTCCTCCTTTCTCTCCCCCTCAACCATTGCCTGAGTCTTCCAAACCAGACCTGGAACTGAAAAGGCACAGGGGAAAAGCAAAGAAATGGTACTAAAATTGTACATACACGGCTAAGGGAGTTATCCTAAAGTAATTTGTACAAAGGTCTGCAGATGAAAAAAGCACACTTTCTGGAGTTTTCTAAAACTTCCTAATTGACAAGCAAATGTTGGTAAATGCCATTCCCCTTGGGGAAAGCACATAGAAGCCATGCAGAAGATGCCAGCTCCCTAGCCTCTTCCATCAGAGGCCAGTGTTACACACACCACACCAGACAAGGTTTCAGACCTCATCTTCTCAATCACAATCTGACCAAATCTGCATTGCTTATCTTAAAACAAAACCAAAAAAGAAGCCAAAAGGTACGTGTGAATTCAAGTCTTAGGTTCTCAGCTACCACCAAAATATGCCCACACACGACTACACACCTGGGAAGACATGCAGAGGCCTGATGAAGGCAAACAGGGTGGGCACTACATTCCAATTTCTGATAATATTATAAAACCATTATGCAAAAAAGTAACTCCTTCTTGAAATCCCATTTCATAATGAGGAAAATAAATGTCATTTTATTTAACATTCATTTTTTAAAGTTACAGTTACGCTAACATTATCTATTTCTAATGAAAGAAACCTTAGTACAATCCTAAAAACATGCACAAGCAATCAGTAAAGTTTTCTACATTCCTAAATAAATTACCTGCATGATATGCACTTACTAATGAAGAAAACCAATACGAGCATTCAGGACATTCATTTTTCTGCATGGAGATTTAAACTACTATAACACACACACACACACACACACACACACACACACACACACACAAATCCACAAGCAATGGTGTGTAAAAGGTAGTGAGAAAACTTAAAATCAGCACATTTAATATGCCCATGAGCAGGCTGTTGTTTCAGGTGTCCTTGGCATCTTCTTACGCTCGCCTAGCACCACAGATGCAGGACTCGACGGTAAACGCGCACAATCCCGGGCTGGAAACCTAAAGCACACACTCAGCGGACTCTGCGCACTGCCATCTACTCTACCAGGTACGCAGTACACACTCTAAATATTTTACACATTAAGTTACCCTGCAGCATTTTGGAATTTTGACATTTTTGCAAAACAACTTCTGAAAGACTTAGGAAACAAATTCCAAGGTTCACCTCCAGGCGGTTTGGTTAAGTGGAAAATGGCAGCAGCCCCAAGGTTCATTCGTCCTGAATGGAAATGATGTGTGCATGCCAACCCATGTAAAAAAAGGCCTATACACACAGATGGCACAGGGACTCGGGCGGTGGGAATCACCAGTGCAAATGCATGCATTTGAGGTACTTATTTTTTTTTTTCATGGTCAGGTATAACTATGCATAGTCATTTTCCTCAAGTGCTAGATTTAAGACCTGATGGAAGGAGAGGTTGTCAGAAGGTAAATATGAGCTATCGCTATTGCTATAGCTAATGTCAAAGTGCTATGCTTTTAAGGATATTTATTTAGCATCATAGGTTTACACTTTTAGTTCGAAACATTTACTAACCAATAAATTCTCTCATTGTAAGGAGACTGACTGGTAATTATACCTGGCCAAGTGATTTAATAGCATACTTGAAATTCTTGCAAGAACTGTAGTGAAAGAATAAAATACTTCATTATTGCTTCATTGGACTGAGAAACCCGCAGGCATAGCTAAGCAACGCTCGGCGATGGAGGGCGAGCACCCACATGGGTCCGCAATGAGCTATGCGTTCTCCATGCTCTCAATGCCGTTGGCATCCACGTGGATATCCGGCTCCCCGCAGAGAGACGGCACAAAGCGGTTAACAGTGGGGCACAGACAGCTCTTCAGTTCAGGCAGTTCTTGCTTCAGCCGTTCTAACTGCTCCACTTGAAATATATTTGGCTGCTCAGGCATCCAATCATATATCCTATGATGAAACAAAGACAAAAATACACAAAATAGTATGATCTTATGGTTTATTCATGAGTCAGGTTTAGCATTTCCATGGGAGTCTGTGTCCACAATGCCTAGAATACCCACATTGCAGTTTTATAGACTTCTCTTTCCAGGATGGGTGTGCAGCACACAGAGCAGGATAAGCTACCACACTGGAATGCTGGATACAGTGCTGGCTACACTGCTTCCCATCCAGCTTCCCGCTAATGCACTTGGGGAAACAGAGCACCCATGTGGAGAGCAGGATGGAGATCCAGGCTTCTAGCAGTGAGGCCATCTGATGAGGGATGCAGCAGATGGAAGATACCTCTCTCCCTTTCAAATTGATAAAACAAATCTTTGCCCAGTTGAATAATACAGAATAACAGCCTAGCTCTTCTATATCCCTGCTTACTAAAGTATTCAGAGCAGTGATGTTTTAGCTTATTACTAGTGATTCCTGAAGTACCTGTCTCCATGTTAATCTCCCCCCAGAGTCCTGGGTTACAGGTGCGAAGATACCAAGAGGCTTCTGACTTCCAAGTCACTCAGAGCCACCTGAGAGCTGCTCATCAATGAAAGAAGTGCCGTGAGGTCCTGTAGTGCAGGCAGGTCAACTTGGGCTTGCACGCCCAGAGGGAATACTGGCACTGCCTGCCAACAGAGCAGGGTCACTCCAACTGAGACATGAACACCAAGCAACTGCAGAGACTTTTCCAAGAATACCTAATGGCATCACACTAGAGAAGTTCTGAAACAAGACACAAATACATACTAGCTCTACAACAACAAAGCCTTTCTGTTAAAGCCACGTCTAACAGAAGGGAAACTGACTTCAGGATCAGGACATCAGAAGAAGAGAGCATCCAACATCATTCTTGCCCTACATTCCCTAAAATAAAAGTAGGGCCCGGCGTGATAGCCTGATAGCTAAAGTCCTCGCCCTGTATGTCACGGGATCCCATATGGGCACTGGTTTATGTCTCGGCTGCTCCGTTTCCCATCTGGCTCCTTGTTTGTAGCCTGGGAAAGCAGTTGAGGACGGCCCAAAGCCTTGGGACACTACACCTGCTTGGGAGACCCGGAGGAAGCTCCTGGCTCCTGGTTTCAGCTCGGCTCAGGCTGTTGCAGCCATTTGGGGAGTGAACCAGCACATGGAAGATCTTTCTCTGTCTCCTCTCTGTAAATCTACACACACATGGGGTAGTTGTCAAGGCGCAGCAGGATAAGCCAATGTCTGTGTTGTCAGCATCCAAACGCGAGCTGCTTTAATCACGGGAGTTCCTTGTGTGAACCAGATCCCTGTGGATGCTCCCCAGAAGCCAGTGGAGGAGGGGGGTCCAAGTGCCTGGGCCTTGCACCCACGTGGAAGACCCAGCTGAAGCTCCGACCTCCAGCCATTTAGGGAGTGAACGAGCAGATGGAAGAGCCCTGTCTTGACAGGGAACTCTGCCTTTAAAATAAACCAATCAGAGGCTCCTTCAGGTTGGCTCAGCTCCAGCCACTGCAGCCACCTCAGGAGTGAGCCAGCAGATGGAAAATCTTCCTCTGTCTCTCTTCTCTGTAAATTTGCCTTTCCAATAAAAATACATAAATATTTTTTAAAAATTTAAAAACAGTACAAAATTCCTCTTGAACTCCATCTGAATAGGAAGAAGTTAAAACAGGGAAGACTGGTTTTGGCACTAAGCCTCAGCCTGCAGTGCCAGCATCCCATACAGGTACCGGTTCATATCTCAGCTGCTCCATTTCCCACACCGCTCCCTCTTACAGCCTTAAGAACGCATTGAAGGATCACTCAAGTCCTTAGACTCAAGTCCTTAGACTCAGGCACCCACGTGGGAGATCCAGCAGCTCCTGGCTTTAGATCAGCCCAGCTCTGGCCATTGCGGCCATCTGGGAAGAGAATCTACAGATGGAAAATCCGTGCCTCTCCTCTCTTTAACCCTGCCTTTCAAATGAAAATAAATCTTTATTAAAACTAAAAAACGAAAAACAGGGAGGATGAGGTGAAGGTTTGCACGGTAGTATCTCTCTTCTCCCTGATGCAAAACTGGCAGCCGACCTGGATCCAAAGGGTAGGTATGGAGAGAGTGGCTTTCACCGTGCATTACAGTTCTAATCTCCTGAGCTAGGAGGCCATTGGGATTACACACGATGAAGCCCAACTCAGCAAGCAGGGAGAGGGTCCTGCTGCAACAGATGCAGGGGCTGTCTGGATGACTCCTAGCCTACACTGCTGGGGCCTTGCCACCCAATGGCAGACTCAGAGGGAGTTCCACGCTGCTGCTTCAGGCCAGCTCAGCACTGGCAGCTGGAGGTGGCTGGGCTGTGACAGTGCATCGAAGATTGATCTCATCTCCTTTCCTCTGTCATTTCTCTTTCAAATAAGTAATTGAGTTTTAACTTAAAAATAATGCTTTAGTGGGGCCTGGCATTACAGCTCAACGACTAACTCCTTACTTTACAAGCATCAGGATCCCAAATGAGCACTGGTTCATGTCCTGGCTGCTCAGCTCCTTGCTTATGGCCTGAGAAAACAGCAGCATATAGCCCAAACCTTTGGGACCCTAGACCTGATTTGGGGACCTAGAAGACTCCTGGCTCTAGATCAGCCCAGCTCTGGCCATTGCGGCCATTTGGCGAGTGAATCAGAATTGGAAGATCTTTCTGTCTCTCCTTTCTCCATAAATATACCTGCCTTTCCAATAAAAATAAATAAATCTTGTTTTTAAAAGTAGGTTTATTTTGAAGCAACAACGTTTGGTATACAATGCATAATTTTTTCACAATAGGCATTTTTCACTAACTTAATGAAGACCTAATATATTGATTTCAGTGGATGGAAGATCTTTCTGTCTCTCCTCTCTACAGATTTATTTTTCCAACAAGAGTATTTTTTTAAATGCATTTGCATGAAAAAAAGAAAAGAATAATCCCTTCACACACTCAATTTCCAACAAGCTTTTTAGATCCAGTTCCTTGTCCTAGCAGGCAGTCAAAGATTCTCCAATTCTCCTACACTGAAGACTGAGAAGAAAACTCCAAAAAGCAGGGAACAAGAAGCCTGAATGGTTTCAGAGAAAAACAAGGGATCTTCAAAAAGCTCATAAAAATGTAATTAAAAGACATTTTAAAATATTTGCAGAGTGGCTTAATCCACTGTATCACAACATCCACTCAAGCTGTTTCTAAAAATACACATCTGTTCAAGGAACAGCTGAGCTCCTGCTGTGCCTTATCTACCAGCCTAACTTCTGAAGATACAGCAGTGAACACACATTAAGCCTTACCCTCATGGAGCTTATGGGGAGGAGGAAGGCAGATGGGAAAAGCCAGGAAGAAAAACAATGAATACGCAGTGTGGCAGGCGAGATGAGATGGAGAGAGATGAGATGGAAGAAATTCAGGAAGCACACTGGGAACAGAGGTTATTTAGAACTGGCTGTTGAAGGAAAGCCTCAGTGGGTGGCATTTCAGTCTTCAGTCTTTGTCTGTGGGAGAAAATGCCAGAGAAGGAAAGAGGATTGGGAGGCAGGGGGGACGTGGAGGGTAGAAGGGGCCGGCACAAGTACACGTCAGGTCACATAGCATCTTTGGCCTTTCCTTTCTGTGATATGGACCACCAGCTGCTGTGCTGAGCAGCGGGAAGGATCTCATGGCACCGACCACTGCAGTGGGCCACATGAGACGGGAGAGGGGACGTAGCAAGCAGACAGACTGCAGCCACAGCTTGAAGATGGTGCAAATGAGGCTTTGTCTGACAGGATTTGGGGCATGAGATAAAGGGCCATGACATGGAAAACTTCTAGCAGCCTAGTTTTGATCATTTCCTAGGCCCATGAATGGTGTTAGAAATACCCAGAAGGACGTTGGCAGAAAAGGTTCCTCTGCCCAGACAGAATGTCTGAATGGCAGAGAAGGGGATGAGAGCATGGCGAGTCCTGGGGAAGAAGGCCATCCTCGTATTCAGGATGAACTCAGCATGTGAGCTAAGGCCAGGCTCAGCAGGTGGCAGCAAGCTTCCAGGAGGGTCTAGTTTCTTGCACAGTTGGAAACAAATTCAAAACAGGCAAAGCTCAAGGCAAACCCCAGGCCACACTCCAGAACTTTAACTGTAGGGAAAGTCTGACTTTATCTGTAAGATGAATGCTACACTTTGCCAAATATGGAATTTTTCAGTAAAGACAGATACCTATCATAAACGAGACCATTGACGCCAAATTCCTTCAATTTCCTTCTGTTTTCCGGGTCGTTGGTGTCATCACCCCAGCAGAACACAACCAGCCCCTTGGCTCGCGCCTCCTGCACGTAGGACGGGTTCCTCAGCAGGTCTTCAGTGTGTGCGTTTATCCCCTGAGGACAAAGGAAGGCATCAACCACAACATCATTAGTAAAATGTGCATGGAAAGAAAATGTTACACAGAGTTCCTACCAATTTTAAATGAGTATTTCATTTTGACATATATTTAGAATAAACACATATTAGTAAGATTTATAATACTCATGCAACTTACAAACATGCAGGCATTCAATGTGTAAAAAATGTAATGGAATGCACTATCAAAACAAGATCATTATTTTACATGATTCAAAGGCTATCATTTTACATAATTCAGAAAATCCACTCAAAAAATTAAACCAAAACTCAATGCAGGCCTGTAAGAAAAATCGTATTCTGTTCAATGTAACTGCGTTCATTCTGAAATCTTTAAGTACAGTTATCTGCTGTGTATCATTTAAGCCTTCTACCATTAATCGTGTAGTGTAACATGAAACTTATTGACTACTGCTCTAAAGCATCAAACAACAGAAATTTTAAAATACAAATTCACTCACTAGAAGATTTTCAAACTGTGCAAAGCTCATTGCAATGGGAGTTGTTCGAGACCTGAGGTCCATGAGTTCTGGGTAAATGTCAGACTTTCCTTGAGTCAAAAATAATATGGGATATTTGTTCTGCTTTTGTCGAACCCTAAAAAAGGTAACAGAAGGAATTACTTGGGGAAATTGCTATTATATTGTTTTCAAGTACCAGGAAACACTAAAAATTTAAGGAAACAAAAAACGCATAATACCATTGCTTAGACATAACACCATTAACCTGTGCTTAGTCACAGAAGCAACTTAAGACCTTTTCTGCAAACAGAACAGAACACGAAAATGGGCACTGAGAGCCCGGGAGGGACTTCAGTCTGGTGAGCAGGTGACTGCAGCACATGGGCACAGTGAGGCCCTGGGACCCAGCAGGTCCGAGTGGGGGCACCCCAAAAAGCTGGCATGTAGGACACGACAGTAGGAAAACCAAGCTTGCACTGAGGCTAACTCCCTGCCCTCTAGTTCCCGCTGCTACCTGAAGCGCAGACTACATTCTAAGAGCGTAAGAGAATGAAAACATCACTCACATTGTGCAAATATCTGCATCGAAGGAAGAAAACACTATTCTCCTCTTGCCAGAGTTTTCCAAGACAGTTTTTAAAATTATATCCAAAAACAGATTCATGTCAAAATATGTGGATAAGTTACCATCCCACATTCCATCCTGTATGGAAGGGAAAATGAAACACATTACATGCTGCAAAGCACAGAACTGGAAAAGAATCTTATTTACTTTTCAAACTTTAAAAGCTTATTTTAATGTGTACAAAGATATAACAATGTGACAGGATATAGTAAAAAAAGATACTAAGATGAAGCAAAGTAACATAAGCACCATCCATCATTACCCTTTTCTGTTTCTGGCAAGGGTGGCTAAGGGGCTAGTGTAAAACCACTGCCTGTGATGCTGGCATCCCACTTGGGCACAGAGTTGCGTCCTGGTGACTTTACTTCTAATCTAGCTCCTTGCTAATAACGTGGGAGAAGCAGCAGCCACTGGCTTAAGGGCTGGGGAGCTAGACACGCAAGGAACCAGATGAAGCTGCTGGCTTCCGCCTGACTGCCCCGCTGGCTGTGGCCACCTGGGGAGTGAACCAACAGATGGAATCTAAAAGAGGAACTATAACCCCCTTACCTGAATCCCACACACAGCACAATTTCAACACTTATAGTCTTCATGTCACATTTTAGATTTCTAGGCATGTTCATTTTACTTATCTATTTTTTTAAAAGATTTATTTATTTTTATTGGAAAGGCAGATTTACAAAGAGAAAGAGAGACAGAAATGTGTTCTGTCTGCTGGTTCACTCCCCAAGTGGTCGCAATGGCCAGAGCTGAGGCTCGACGGGAACTGGAGCATCCAGGACATGAACCAGCACACATATGGGATCCCAATGCATGCAAGGTCAGCAGTTAGCAACTAGGCTATCGTCCCAGACCCACTCCTAGTTCTGTATTCTTTGACCCACATCTCCCCATTATCCAAAAATTATTGCCCTGTCATTCCACAGGTGAGCTCACGCAGTATTCTCCTGCTGTGTCTGACTTATCTGGCCTAACATAATGTCCTCCAGGGTCACCTGTTGCGGCAGTTGACAAGATGTGGTTCTCTGTGGTTTTCATTACTCCGTTGTACACATGTGACAGTTTCTGATCCACCTCTCTGTTGATATACTCTTTGGTTTGTCTTCCTATCTTGTCTATTGTGACTATCATTGCAATTAACATGGAGTGCAGATATCTTATTTTGGTTCCATATTCAGAAGGACTGCTGTGTTATACGATTGCTCTAACTTTCTTTTCCATGTAAATGCCCAACAACAGCATATAAGAATTCCCTTTTCCACAAACCCTCACCAACATTTACCTTTTAACCTTTTTGATGACAGTCATACTAACAAATGTGAGTTGGTACTCAGTTGTTTTATCAACCACTATTTACACACAAGGAAGCCAAAGAAAGGCCTGAAAACACTGATTTATCCAAGACCACACAGCTCCTTAGTGATGGCACAGCAAAAAGAATATGGCTACACAGAGCTGAAGTCTATTATTATTTTAACATATTTCTATATATAACCCCCATAAATGATAAGGCACTTCACTAGCTAAGACCCTATTAATTATGAACTACCAGCTACCACAAAACCCCAAATAATCCTATTAATTATAAAAGGGTTATTTTCTGTGAAGCACCAGTCAAACTCTCATTATTTGGGCCTTAAACCTATCAAGCACAGTAAAAAAAAATCTAAAACTATGGAGCTATGATACAAAAAGCCTTAACATTCAAATATTAAATGTCTTAAATATTAACTATGAAAATAACTCCATAATCTCAGAACTAACTCATTAAGACAATCTTGGTTGAGCCTATACTGTGTTAGCCAGAATCAGAATGACATCACTGTAATGAACCAAGTTCAGGATACTGGTCCAAACGTCTGATGAGAAATCCTGAGGTTCCAGTTACTCTACTTCTCATCTACTTTCCTGTTAATGTGCCCGAGAAGGTAGGAAAAGATGGCATGAGCACTTGGGATCCTATCACCCAGCTGGAAAACCAGGATGGAGTTTCTGGCTTCAGACTTCAATCTGGCACAGACCTGGCTGGTCTAGCCATTTAGAGAGTGAACTAGCAGATGCAATATTCCTTTTCCTTGTTATCTGGCCTTTCAATAAATAAAAACATATACATATGCATATGTATACTTAAATTTTTATTGCTCTCTGAGAGGGAGATTAACAGAGAAGGAAGGAGACAGAAAAAGAGAGATCTTCCATCTGCTGAGTCACTCTCTAAATGGCCACAATGGCCACAGTTGAGCTGATCTGAAGCCAGGAGCCAGGAACATCTTCCTGGTCTCCCAAGTGGGTGCAGGGCCAAAGGACTTGAGCCATCCTCCGCAGCTTTTCCAGGCCCTAGCAAGGAAACAGAACTGGAAGAGCTGGCACTTGAACCGGTATCCGTATGGGATACTGGTGCTGCACGTGGAGGAATAGCTGGCTAAGGCAACACACTGGCACCTACATTTTTTAGAGTGCATTGCCATATTTCTAGAGTTAACATATAGAATATATTTTAGAGTTAATTAATTTTAGAGTTAACTAGCTCCACGAAGGCAAGGCCTTATTCTGTTTTGTTCACTACTTCTTCCAAGCACTCAGAAAAAAAAATCTAGTCAACAGCCACTTTTTGACAAGTATTTGTTGAACAAGAAAAGATTAAATTCAGGAGTGATTTAAAATACATTTTCAGAAATTTCTTTTCCTGCGAAACTATTACTACTCAACAGAAAACGACTCAGTAAACTACCTAAAAATATATATATTTATAGGATAAATAGAAAAAAAATCAGATAATGTTCACTTTTTAAGTATCCCTGGAAACCATCTGAATTAATTTCCACAATACTTTTCAAGTACTAACTTATCAATGTAAATGTACAATATGGATTAACTATAAAGGCCAAAACACACTATGTCACTGAATGGGCCACAAGGAGATTTCAGTTTTGCTTTTTCTATTAAAACAGTCAAGAATGAAGGAATTTTTTAAAACTGGGAGTAGAGAAGAATGAAAACATCTGCTGTACACAGAACTACTCACCCTTTGTTGACAGATCCATTTGATTTCAATGTTAAACCCTACATCTTCTGGCAAAGAATCTAAAACCTGGAGTTTTATTGGTTGGTGGCGAATTGTTGTTATTGGTCAGACAGACGATAGAAAAATAAGTAAAACAGAATTATTACCAAAGGAAATCAATAAGCATATATCACTAGTAAGTATAAAATGCTTTGTTTCCAGCATAAAACTTTTCTCAAGCTCAGGCTAAGCTGGACCGATTTCTTTTACAGTGAATGAGGCAACATCTAAGACAAGCAATCACCGCCCACCTGAGTCTACAGTCCTTTCCTCCTCGCTACTCAACACTGACCGCCAGGGACCGAAGGCCTGGACCATGTTCACCGAACTGTATTCAACCCACCCAATGCTCAGTATATAAGATAAAATTCAGCACTAAATAAGCCCCATTTTGAAAGCATGCACTTCTGTATCATGATAAATCACTATCCGTGTCTAGGAAACTGATTGGTATCAGACCCACAACGAGGGAAGGCCAAGCAGGCCAGCAGAGTCGGTGGGCGCCCACACAGGCCAAGCACTCACTGACCTGGACCTGCTAGCGCCCCCCGGCAGCTCCGCAGGCATGGCACTGACCGACTTCCAGAGCTTCCTGGTGAATTCCTGAAACTTACCTATCACTGAGTTTTCAGGACACTTATTTTCGCTGATTGGACAATCTCCAAAAGCTATGGAAAGCTACTAAACCTGGCAAAATGCCACCTCCCATCCCCCTCCTGAGCCCTCTCCTTCCTGTTCAGACACAGAAACTAACCCACTGTGATGAAAATGCTTTTTCATTTAAGCAGACATAACTCAATGGTGCTAAGATTTATTCTAAAGCTGCCCCGGGCGGAGCCTTTGCGGTGCCCATTTATGACAACAAAACTGCTGACACCCTGCTTTCCTCAAGGAACTTACCATCTTAAGAGAAGGAAACGGCTGATTTTCAGAAAAGGAACTTTCCTCTTCCACCACAGATTCTAGAACATCAAAGTACAGAAATTAATAAATAAAATGCTTTATCACTAAGATTCCCAGCATGGGGCTAGAGTAACCATTGCAGCTCTTCTTATCAGAAATTTGCATGGCCCTTACACTTACTACTTTCTTTTTTGTTTTTTTTTTTAAAGATTTGTTTTATTTTTATTACAAAGTCAGATATACAGAGAGGAGGAGAGCCAGAGAGGAAGATCTTCCGTCTGATGATTCACTCCCCAAGTGAGCGCAATGGCCTATGCTATGCCGATCCGAAGCCAGGATTGTTCGGAACCTCTTCCGGGTACTCCACACGGGTGCAGGGTCCCAAAGCTTTGGGCCATCCTCGACTGTTTTCCCGGGCCACAGGCAGGGAGCTGGATGGGAAGCGGGGCTGCCAAGATTAGAACCGGCATCCATATGGGATCCCGGGTGTGCGAGGTGAGGACCTTAACCACTGCGCCACCATGCCGGGCCCTATACTTTTTTTTTTTTAAAGATTCTTTTATTTTGGGCCTGGTGTGATAGCGTAGTGGTTGAACGCGCCAGGATCCCATATGGGCACCAGTTCTAATCCTGGCAACTCCACTTCCCATCCAGCTCCCTGTCTGTGGCCTGGGAAAGCAGTCAAGGACGGCCTAAAGCCTTGGGACTCTGTACCCACATGGGAGATTCAGAAGAGGCTCCAGGCTCCTGGCTTTGGATTGGTTCAGTCCCGGCCATTGTGCTCACTTGGGGAGTGAATCATTGGACAGAAGATATTTCTCTGTCTCTCCTGCTCTCTGTATATCTGACTTCGTAATAAGAACAAATAAACATTTAAAAAAAATTTTTAGAAAAATTTTAAAGCAAACTTATGGAAGAGTTTCAAAACTTTCATATCAAAACAAAACTTTTAATTTCACTTTTTTTCTTCTTTAGAAAATGTGCTACTTAGCTGAAAGAATTACAGCAGAGAGGCAGGGAAAGAGGGAGAAAGAGACACAGAGACAAAAAGAGACATCTTCGATCCATTGTTTCACACCCTGGATGGTTGCCACAGCCTGAGCTGAACCAGTGTGAAGCCAGAAGCAAGGAGCCTGCAGCTTCATCTGGGTTTCCTGTGTGGGTGCATGGGCCCAACCACGTGGCCATCCTTGTCTGCTCTCCCAGGCCACAGGAGGGCGCTGGACGGGAAGTGGAGCAGGAGGTGGACCATGCCCCCATGGATTATCAGCATCACAGGCATCGCTTTACTTGCTATGCCACAAAGCCAGCCCCTGCTTTTACTTCTCTACAAGCCTCAAACGTAATCACAAGCAATAATTGTTCTTTCTCAATGAAACTGAGTTTCTGACCTTTTTTAAAAGACTTTTATTTGAAGTATCAAAAATCAAATCAGAAACTAGAGATTAGGAGGATCTATAGCTACTAGTGTGCTTTGGTTATCATTCTTATTTGTTACGAAATAATTGGTATTTTAAGATACAAAATAACTATCAAGTTTTCTTTTTCAGAAAATAAGGACCTTGCCATCTGTGGCACAGCATGTTAAGCTACTGCTTTCGATGCCAGCATCCCATTTTATGGAGTGCTGGTTTGAGGCTAATTTAGCTCACTGGTGGTGTGCCTAGGAAGGCAGCACAGGACAACCCAAGTACTGGGTTCTTGTCACCCGCGTGTGAGACACGGGTGGGCTACCTGGCTTCTGGTTTGGACCTGGACCAGTAACAGCTGCTACAGCCACGGAGAGCAGTATAAAAGTCTCTGGAAACGTAAAAATGCCTCCCTACCTCTATGGGGGACGGTAAAATGAGGGATGTTGTAGGACACTGAGGGAACCCCGACACAAAGGGGGAAAACACAGTAACCTGCTCACAGCTCACAGTGACGGACTCAACTCGCAATGACTAAGAATGCTTAGCAAGGTTAAAACTGTAAAGGATTCTGATCATCAAGTTAAGAAAACCAAGTGGTTACTATACACACATTTATTAAGTTAAAAGTCGACATGCATGAGGCCTTCACATTTATAAAATTGCATTCAGATGATTCAGTGTCATATTCCTTAAAATGCCTGAAGATCTGTCACAACAGGGAAGGGGCCACCCTGTGAGCCCCCATCACCAGACAAGCGCTCGGACACTGCTTCATACCTTTTCGATCCTTAGACTTCAGCGCAGTCACATGAGAGAGCTACAACACCAAAGCATACAATGCCATCAGAAAAGTCACAGTGATGAGAAATGGCTAATCAAGTGTAAGAGCATTAAACGTGGACTTATTAACTTCCCTCCAAAATGCAAAAACCAGCGTGGTCCTCAGGGTTGCCAGAGAAGGTGGAAGGTGTAGCACAAACCCAACCTCCCACTCTGTCACAGCAAGGTGAGGTATACTCTCAACCAAGGCATAACGAGCACATAGCCATCCCTGTGCGCAGACAACGTTACTGAATATCAGCATGCACCAGCAGTCTGAGGGCTAAAGAATACATTTTATTCTACCGTTAATACCTTTAACAACTGGAGTTGGTCAAATGTTAATTCCTTTACTGGAATTTCAAACAATTCAACTGGATCAGCCTCAAATTTCTACAAAAACAAAAACAGAAAAATGGGCCCCAAATTATCAAGTGTTTATATGAGACAAGCGCAGTCACTTACCACACAATGAAAATCATTATTAGCCAGTGTGACTCCATGCAAGAAAACCTCCTTGCCTGACACTTCCTCTCAGCTCTTGCTGTTTAAAACAGGCAAGCACGGAGGGTGGGGAGAACCTGCAGAGAAAGCCTGCAGGGAGGAAGTTGCGGCCTGTAGACACCCCGCTGAAGACAGGCAGAAGGCAGGTGGTGTTTCGTCATTTCCTGTCAGGCTGTCTAACATCTAATACACTGCCATGCTTCCCGACCAGGATGTTCACATCAAGTACCATACGGTCTGTCTGAGCTTCATCCATAAGCAAGTTTGTTAGATTCTAGTGTCATATCAAGCGATAAGATGTGACTCCTTTGAACAGATCACTATCATCGGGCAAGGCAGCAGAGGCTGGCCCTTGCAAGCAGGTAGGAGACCTGCAAGAGGCCACTGTGGCTACCTGGGGAGTGAACCAGTGGATGGAAGATTCTCTCAATCCCTCCTCCTGTCTCTATAACTCTGCCTTTAAAACAAGTAAAAATTCTTTTTTTTTTTTTCTTTAAGGAAGTAAGACCAAGGAAAAATAAAAAGGAAGATTCATTTTTCATTCCATCATCTTCTGAAATGCTTACATTTGTTTCTAATAAATATGAATTTTTTGGTAAGAAAAAGGCCCCTTAAAATTGTTACAATTCAGCCTATAATATATGCAATTCAATAATTCTGTTACCCAATAATCAACTCATTCATGTTATGCTTTAGTGTGTAAAAGCCTAGCAAAAATTGGGATAAAGAATAATTTTCATTTTTTAGAAAGAATACTCAGATTTTTAGAAAATCCATTTACCTCACTCTCGGCTGTAAAGATCCTTTTCTACTCCATCCCTACTCACTTCACTTGGCATTAGTGTTCCCCTACAGCGATACGACCAGTTCCATTTCCGCTCCTGCCTGCACTTGGGTCAAGCAAATAGATGCCTCTCCTTCTCCCTGTTGGCAGCAAGCCACAGTGACGCACCTCCAGGACTGTGACTTACACATCATGAATCAGTGCTCACTTCGGCAGCACATATACTAAAACTGGAATGAAAATCTGCTATCAGGAGCCTGTCAAGTCCTTTTTTTCCCTGAGTTTTATTTTATTTTATTTTATTGGAAAGGCAGGTTCACAGAGGCAACACACAGGGACATCTTCCATTTGCTGTTTCACTCCCCAAAATGGCCACGACGGCTGGAGCTGAGTGGATCTGAAGCCAGAAGCCGGGAGCTTTTCTAGGTCTCCCAGGGCACGTGAGCCATCCTCTGCTGCATTCCAGCTCGCAAGCAGGGAGTTGGATGGAGATGCTGCGGCCGGACATACACCGGGGCGCACAGGTGTGGCATCACAGGCTCAGGTGCAGGCCCTGCCTGCCCACTCCGACACGCAGAACCTGGGAGTGTTCTACATGTCAGCAAACTGATTTTAAGACAATTTAGTTGAAAATGACACTTGGAATTTTTGAAGAAAATACTAAATGAAACCTAAGTTGCTGAGAAGTCACTTGGTTAAATCTGTGCATTCAAAATTGAGACATGTAATTATTACATTATGTTTAGACAGTATTAATCGCACTTTTTAAACAATGTATGTATTTCCAAATCTGATTTTAGACTTTCCCTGCATAGTCCGGTTAAGGCAGTCTTAGGGGAGGAAGGCGAGGACTCTGCTGCCTCCGGGCTGGCAAGCTGACCTCGCCCTGCAGGTCACTAAAGGCCGGCCTGGAAGCCTAGCTCGGGGCACTTCTCTTCTGCCCCCTGCCCTTAAGTTTATGCCACTTCCCTGAGGCTACTCTGGCTCCAAAACACTTTCCTGATTTTTTACAGTAGCTCTTCCTCCTGCTTTAACCAAATCCTGTCAGTCTAATTTAAAGAGCAAAAGCACAAAACAAACAGGGAAACCTAAGAAACCAACATAATATTCCCGGTTTCCAGCCCCAATTCAGTGACAATGGCTGACCGAGAGAACCCATCTGGAATGTCCCTTGGTTAGCAACACAAAGGACAAATTCAGCAGAGAGCACAGCGCGGGAAGTCAGTGTCCCCAGGTCCTCACTCTGGGGCACTACACGCCGGGAAGTCAGTGTCCCCAGGTCCTCACTCTGGGGCTCTACGCGCCGCAGGAGGAAAGCACTGGCCGACTCGGTCAGCAAGTAACCAAGAGTACAAGCTCCAGTGTGTAAGCGCTGGAACCTAACACAGGGTTTAAAATGAAGGAATTTCAACCTACCTTCTTCATGGTCAAGCAACAGGTGAGATCGTGATAGACCACGGGCACAAAGTCCTTTGAAAGGTGAACATCAAATTCTACAAAGGCTGCACCCTGATGGACAGAAGTATGGTAGGTATTTTCAAAACATTGCTTGGTGCATAACATATATCTAAAAGTAACACAGCTTAAGAAACTTTTTGTAAAATAACAGGCTTGTACATAAGAACATGAAACTCCATGCTGATTTATTTCTTCTGTAAGAAAACAGTAACCTTTACCTGACAAAAATAAACAAATAATTGGGTACTGGAGTAGAACGCGGGGCCCAGCGCGTGCAAGGTGAGGACTTTAACCACTACACTATCGCGCCAGGCCCACAAGGTTTTTTGATTAAAACTGTTCAGATGCAGCTGCTTAAGATACTAAAAGTAGAAGCCAGTGGTGTAACAGGTTGCGCCACCACCCGCAATGCCAGCAGCCCATATGTGTACCAGTTCAAGTTCTGTAAGCTCCACTTCCAGAGCAGCTCCCTGTCAGGTACTTGGGAAAGCAGTGGAAGACACTGCCAAAGCTTGGGCCCTTGTACCCATGCGGCCGACCAGGCTTCTTGGCCCGACCCGTCCCCCCTCTGTGGCCATCTGGGAGTGCGCCAGCAGATGAAAAGGCTTCTAACTGTGCCTTTTGGATTGAATAAAAAGAAAGGCAATGAGAAATTGGTGTGCAGAGTGGGACCTGATTAAAAAGTTTCACACAAAATCACCATCAAGTGCGTCTAAAAGCATTATTTCCAGTACATGCAAGGTGAGGATTTAGCCAGTAGGCTACCACACTGGGCCCATGATTCTGTTTTCATTATACTCTTCACCATGGATCTAAATACCAACACCAAGACACAATTCATATTCTCTTAGAATCATGTTCAAAAAAGAAATGTTAATTTTTATAATTAATCCTCTTTAAGCTTTTGGCGTACACTGCAGGGGGCTGCCCTGAGCTCTATCAGTCCAGTTATTTACAAAATGCTACTTACGTGGCTTGCAGCATTTCTTAAGGAAGCAATAGTATTTTCTTGAACTTTAGCCAGCCTGAAATAGAGAAATATAGCTAACTATAGAAGAGATAAAACAAGTATAAAAAGTTAACTGTATTTCAACAGTGGAAATAGTACTTATTTTCTATATTGAGTTTAGTTTCACCATCCTAAATGCCTGTGACCATCACGTGGCTGGTATGTGCATTTATTCTATAGTTTCAACCTCAAGCAGAATATAGAATATTCAAGCAGAACATAAACATTCTGTAACATAGGACAACCGATTGGATCTAGAGGCTTAGTTTATAAAGTAAAGATACTTCCAGGCAGGGGTGATGGGATCTGCAGCACATGGGAATTCCCATAATCTCAAGCCAACTCCCCCTTGTTGGTATGTAAATTCCTCAATGAGAAATTTAACACAGTCAATCGGTGTGCAGAGTGAGACCTCCTCCCTCAGCCTATGTGACCCTCACTCTGTAAAATCTGGATGCTGCTAATAAACCTCATGTATTGACCATCAGTCAGTAGTCCACGCGTATGATTTTCGGCTCCATGCACCAAGTCCATCGCTGCCGGACTGTACTGCACGGTGCAATGGAGAGGTAACCAACTGGGGAAAGCAAGCCTTTTCAGCAGCTTGATGAAACACACACAGAGCCTGCTATCTGCAAGGAAGCTTGCAGGGGACCTAACCCTAGTAGACTGTGGGAAGATAGGAAGATACACTGACAGCTTAGAAGTATCAAACCACAATAACAGGCCCTGCGCTGTGGCCTAGTGGCTAAAGTCCTCGCCTTGAACACACCAGGATCCTATATGGGAGCCAGTTCTAATCCTGGAGGCTCCACTTCCCATCCAGGTCCTCACTTATGGCCTGGGAAAGCCGTCGAGGACGGCCCAAAGCCTTGGGATCCTGTACCCATGTGGGAGACCTGGAAGACGCTTCGGGCTCCTGGCTTCGGACTGGCACAGCAGTGGCCGTTGCACTCACTTGGGGAGTGAATCACCAGACGGATGATATTTCTCTGTCTCTCCTCCCTGCATATATCTGACTTTGCAATAAAAACAAATACATCTTAAAAAAAAATTAAAGAAACACAATAACAAGGATGAAGAGGCTAGCATGGTGGTATAGCATGCTAATCTCCACCTGCAGCACGAGCATCCCATATGGGTGCCACTGGTTCACATCCCAGGAACTCCACTTCCCATCCAGCTTTCTGCTTACAGCCTTGGAACACAAAGGAGGATGGCCCAAGTCATTGGGCCCTTTCACCAACATGGGAGACCTGGAAGAAGCTCCTAGCTTCAGATCAGCTCAAGTCTGGCCACTGAGGCCATTTGGGGAGTGAACCAGAGGATGGAGGACCTTCCTTCCCGTAAAATTTGTCTTTCAAACTGAAATAAGTAACTCTTTAAAAAGAGAAAAAGAACAAGCACAGAAAGGAACAAAGTTTATTTGGCAAGCACCTGAGGGTGCTCTTTTAAACTGTAATTTGACTTACAGACTTAAAATATTCTAACAATAAGCACAAATCTAAAAGCTACCACAGCATCACTTTAAAAGCATGTGAAACTAAAAATATCAGTAGAATACCTGTGGCCATGCCTACAGCACTGGCAATCATATAATTTTACAAAATGGAAGCGGAGGCAGGTATTCTTCTCTTGAGGTCTGGGCAGGGATGCTTGGAGCAAAGCAACACCACGGATCACCTCCCCCAAGCCCAGCACCACACACACTGAGCTCACCAAAGCTTTCTGCCCCACGCTCTGCTTCCTGGCTTTCCACTTTTAATGGCTCTCTCATCACCAACTCAGTACAATACTAAAAGGACAGACCACAATCTTAACTGAGAGTAATCTCTTATTTGAAATTACATTTAATTCCCAGGGTATTAATAGCAGCAGCAACTGACCCACAGTGGTCAAACCAACAAATCATCCATCAAACATGAGCTGCCAATTGCCAATTGCCTCAAACATTCAACCTACTGGGCAGTTGTTGTAGAGTTGCCTGCACCTCGATGTCCAACATCCAATGGTATTCTCGGCTTCCAGTACTTGGAAAATGATGACTTCATATCACAATTGTATCCTGGTATTGGCTTAATAATTATAAAGTCAACTTTCATGGAAAAGAGAAGAGAAAGGAACAAAGACAAAGATTACTGAAAAGGCCATTATGAGCCCAATTCCATATAAATTGCACTTAAATCAGTTTAATCCCTCACAAATAGAAAAAAATTAAAAATAAAAATCAGGGCCAGCACTGTGGTAAAGCAGGTTAAGGCAGAGGGTTAAGCTACTGACTGTAATGGACCCAATTCAAATTCCACTTCCCAGCTAATCTGGGGAAGCAGTGGAGGATGGCTCCTTGCACCCACATGGAAGACCCAAAGAAGCTCTTGGCTCCTGGCTTTCCATCAACCTAACTCCAGCCACTGGGGCCACCTGAGGAATGAACCAGCAGATGGAAGATCTCTCTCTGCAACTCTGCCTTTCAAATAAATCTTCTAAAAATTTAGTAAATCTTTAAATATTTTTTAAAAAATCAAGCCAAGATGGATCAAAGTCAAGCTTCTAGAAAATTTAAGCTATTTAAATTGTCGTACCAGAAATCTAAATATTTAATCTCCACCACCTCCTAATACTCAATTTAAAACTAATTAAGCCCCAATAAAATTGCTGACTCTACCCTGACAAAGTGCTAGACTTTACCAGCGCGTATACCTAGAGTGTCATGACACACAGAAAGGGCAGAACGCTGCGGTAGAGGCTACAGTTGAAGGATTATATTACTGTACCTATAAAACCGTACAATAAAAAATATTGGGAAAAAAACTAAGTAAAACCCTACCTAACCAGAATTTATTTGTATGGGTCCCTCTGCCACTCCAAACTTACCCCTCACTTTGCCGATTGTTTTCCTGGAGTTCCTGCTCATGATGGGCAGGGTGAGGATGCCAGCACTCTTCCCGCTCTCGGCAATGGTGGACGACAAGAGGCACGCTGTACCCACGTGTCCAGGCAGGGCGTCTCCCTGAACTATGTGCTCACTGAGATCCTCCTAGAAAGGGAGGAGCAGAGAAACGCGACTTTGGCAACACTGTCAATCTCAACACCCAAGAACTCTCTTAAAGGGACCTCGGTCTAGGTGGGAGGATAAGAAACATGATCAACTCCTAATTAGGTCATGTGGATGGCTTCATAATAAATGCTAGATTTTAAAATGCAACATACTGATCCATCATAATCCTGCTGTTAATATTGCTTTTAATCTTCTAGCCCCAACTACATGAATCCCAATCCCTGAAATTCCTAAGCACATTTAGAAATTCAAGATGTATTTATAAAGAATTTTAAACATACATATTTTCAAAAATCTGTTCACATGGGTGCATTGTAGGGATGCTAAGTGTTTAGGAAACCAAACACTCAAGATTACACTGGGTATTTTATCAGCCTAGTTTGGAAATGAAATTATTTCCAAAACTGGTAACCCAGTCAAACAGAAGTTAGGATACTGGTGGTCAAGGTTTGATCCCTTCACCACAAAGATTTATGCTTTATTCTAGAGGAAATGGGAGTAGCGGTGGCAGGCAAGGTGTGACAAAGGCAAGCAGTGCTTGCGGCTACTGTCCTGGGCACACAATGAAAGCAGCTGAGAGAGCACCAAGTATTATTCACAGGAAGTCTCCAAACAGCTAGGGAGCTACTGAGCTCACTGCGAGCAAGCAGCTCAGGTCCAAACAGCTGAGCACAAACTTTACAACTCTTGGCTGTTACACATGTGTAACACCAAGTAAAGCTGCGGAGTAAGGTCCACTGTCACAGTAAACCCCCATAATCAAATCCTCAAAATACCCCCAGTAAACGACCGACTTGTGTCAGGAGAAGACTTAACCATGCTGCTGACATCACGCTGCCTGGCCCTCTACTGGTCCTGGAAAACTCCCCCGCATACAGCTCATTTATATTTAGATTTCTTAATAGGCTCAGACATCAAGACATCAAGTCTTGATTTAAAACATCATTCCCCTACAGTTCTTTTAATTATATTTCTAGCAGTACTTGAGACTGTCAACTGTAGGTCACTCAGTGAGCTAAAATGCATACAGGAGTAAACATCTGAAGTACTGCATGAATCACAGTTTATAACGAATAAGATTAAAATCAAATCACATGAAATATTAAGCTGCTGGGCCAGTGTCCAGCTGTAGCACTTGAACCCCCATCATGAGTGCTGGTTCTAGTCCCGGCTACTCCATATCTGATCGGGCTCCCTGCTAATGGCCTGGGAAACGGTGGAGAATGGCCCAAGACCTTGAGCTCCTGCACCCATGTGGGTGACCTAGAAGACGGTCCTGGCTCCTAGCTTTGGATTGGCTCAGCTGTGGCCACTGTGCCAATCTTGGAGGGAACCAGTGGATGGAAAATCTGTTTTTCCCTTTATTTCTAAAACTCTTTCAAGTAAAATAAATAAATCTTTTAAAAGCTCCAGCCTGCACTTTTTTCTTTTTAAAGATTTTTTTTTTTTAATTACAAAGGCAGATTTACAGAAAGGATAGACACAGAGAAAGTTCTTCTATGAGCTGCACTCTTAATCCTCACTCTGAATAACTACTCACCTCAAAAAAATCGAAGATCAGTTCCAGGTTATCTGGTTCCATTGTCTGGATGCTGTACTCGGTCCAGCGGTCAGGCTGTAAGCCATAGCCACACTCGGGCTGGGAGTGCCTGCACTTGAACTCATGATCACTTATTAACGAGATCTCCAAGGTATTGGACATTTTATGAAGGACAGTGGGGGAAATCCTATCGTCATCATCTTCCTCTGGACCCTCCAGTGTCAACTTCACCCTACAGGATGGGAAAAAACAAGGAAATGCAAACAAGTGGTACAGGAAGAAAACTCACACAAATGTGACCGAAACACTAAATGAAAAGGGAAGGAGGAAAGGGAAAAAGGAAAAGAAGGGAGGCAGGAAAGAAAGGAAGGAGTGAGCGAGCACACACTTGGCCGAGAGGTTAAGACAGCCATCTACACGCCACGCTGGAGGGCCTGCGTTCTATGTGTAGCTCCAGCTCCTGACCCATGCCTGCCAGTGTAAATCTTAACAAGTGACAGTGATGGTTCAGTCATCGGGCCCAACTGCAGCTGCAGCCCACCCAGCCACTGCAAGCATCGGAAGAATGAACCAGCCACGTCTGGGAGAGCTCTTTCACTCTGTGTCTCTACTTCTCAAATAAATAATTGTAAATGTTTCTGAATATATGAACTCTGCAAAAAACAAGAATACTTTATGTATACTATACAAATATAGACACTGTACAAATACCATCAAGTTAAAACATTAGGCATATTTTATTGCCTACTAAAATTATATTCATTCTTTTCAGTGTTTTCTTTAATGAATCGTAAAAGGTATTTACTTGTGCCTTTTATAGCACCTTCAATTAGCATTAAGAGTTCCTCTTGAAAGATTTCACAGATGTGCACAAAACGGAATCATGTTAGTATACATGTTAAAAGATTACTAGAATTAAAGATCTATATTCCTCCTTCCTCAGCTTGACCTCAGTGAAAGCTGAGGTACTGTGGGGAAAGTACATTACTGAAGAAAAATAGTCATATTAAATACATAGTATTCTTATGGAAGTATGAATGCTTTTATGTATATGTACATACTTTTTAATGAAACAAAGAGTCTAAATTTAATAGCTTCATAGCAATGAAAACAAAGGCCAGTTACTCCAGCCACAGGGCCGCAAAGAACAGCCTATATTCCCAATGAGAGAGTACTGTGACAGCAAAAAGTAAACTCAATTTTATATTATTTCTTGCAGCAGTTGAAATGCAAAGTTCCTGCAGACAGTGACAACAGATCTAAGAAAACGTGAATTCCAGATTTAAACGAGACTTGCTTTCTAACACAAATGGAGGGTCTCTGCAAGCGTGGCTTGCTCTCTGTGGACCTTCTGCTCCAACCACTGCTGAGGCTTAGAGTCATGACCCTCTCAGGTCTCCTTCATGGGACACTAGAAGGAGGAGCACATTAGTAACGCTGTGCCATAATCCATCATGGCAAAACAAAAATGATTCTCCTCTCAGAATCCACAGGCTTACAAATGCATCTGGATAACTGACTAATGGCCAACCTGAAGAGAAATACATTCCCCAAATGTATGAAGAGAGAACACAAACACACAGGCAAGAAAAACACAGGGGAATAAATAAGCAAGCAAGTTTAAAGAGGGTCTACAAAGAGCCTGAAAGGTTTTCTTGATAGTTCTCTAAATGTTTCTGGTCTACCACCGACAGACAGGGATAGATGAGCAGGTGGCATAGAGGTGACGATGCCACTTGGCGTGCCCATTCGCCATACTGCAGTGTCTAGTTCCACATTAGCTTCCCACTAATGTGCAACCAAGAGCAAGCAAGCAATGGTTCCCGGAGGTGGGTCCCTGCCAACACGTGGGAGAGCAACACTGAGTTCTGGGCTCCTTGTACTGACATGGCCCACCCCTGGCGTTGTGGGTGTTTGGGACATAAACTTTAGGAGAGAAAATCAATCTTTCTCTGCTGATCAAATAGGTTCTTTCCCCTGCACTGCTTTCAACTTACAGGTAGAATTAGTCAACAGCGTTTTTTAAAACTCAGTGCTAAAACACACACACACACACAAAGATACAAACAAAACCCTCAGTGCCAACGAGAGGCTTGTGCACTGTTTTAGCTTACATGCCAAAGTCAAGTTTTAAAATTCTATTATCCTTGCAGATAAATTTATTTCCTATCTTATGAAAGCTTAATTCATCATTAATATGAACTTGTGAGAAAAATGATGGTCAGAACAAACATCAGTTTCTAGTTGTATGTAACCATTTCAATAGGAATCAAGTCATTCATCCTACAGAACTAAATTAAGTAGTTATACGAAAAAATACTTGAAACTATGGAACTCAACATAAACCCTAAGAGTGACTTCCAAATAAGCAGGAATCACAGAGCATTCAGTCTCCATCTCCATTCACCAGGTCCCCCAATCATGAATTACCTATTCATTTCCTAACATCAGTCACCTGGCTCAACCAACCAACCAGGTTTTATTTTCTAAAGATCTTACTCTAAACTAACTACAGTGTTTCAGAAGCAAAACAGAAGGCTAGAAGAGCCAAGGCAGGTGCTACAGCCTGACTCGCCCTTTCCACAGAGCTGTGTGAAGGATTCTGCTCTCTACCATAAAGACCTGTGAAGTGCCCCCAGCCCTTTCCTTCATTTAGGACTGTAATCTGCAAGCAGTGAAGTATTCAACCACTTGTGACAAAACATTTATGGCTTTACAAATTTATATTATCGTTGTGAATTTTACTATGAAGGTATTAAGTGTTATATTATCCATACCTTTGCTAGAAATGGCCCTACAGTCCAGATATGGCATTGTGTCACAAAGGGTCGCATGATACATCAAAACACAGAGCCCTAAGTATCCAAGTCAAAAACCCCCAATGGCATGGCAGTCTGTCTTCAACAAGCTAGCTCACTTCCAGCTGCATTACAGGAGGAGTTGCGGAGATGCAGATGTAATAAGCCACTTAAACAAAAGCTTGATGCCTCTAACTCTTAAAGTTAGCATAGGTTCAAAAACATTCCTCTGAGAACATGATGACACCTGCTAGCTTTCACCACAAAAAGAAATTTTTATTTAATTTTTTATTGGAAAGTCATATATACAGAGAGGAGGAGAAACAGATACTCCGTCCATGGATTCACTCCCCAAGTGTCTGCTATGACCCAAACTGCACTGATCCGAAGCCAGGAGCCTCTTTTGGGTCTTCCACATTGGTGCAGGATCCCAAAGCTTTGGGCCATCCTTGACTGCCCGCCCCCTCTCCCATGCCACAAGCAGGGAGCTGGATGGGAAGCAGGGCTGCAGGGACCAGAACTGGCGCCCATATGGGATCCTGGCATGTTGGAGGCGAGGACGTTAGCCACTAGGCTGATGCGCGCCGGGCCCTCATCACAGAAAATTTTTCATTTTCAAGCCACAGTAGAGTTTAGAATTCCAAAGAATTTTTACACCAATAATTTTTTCTATATGTGCCATTTTCTCCTCCCATAGCACATCTTTCATGACATCAATTTTAAGAAAAACTTCTGTTGTGATACTAGCAATAAAATATCCAATGGTAGAAAGCACAAAAATTACATAAGCTTAAAACTAAACTAATAGCAACCTGAAAGAATTCACTACCACAAAACTCCAGTTGCCAGAAAATGTGACATTGACTGTTAAGTGTTTAGTTTACACATTCAAAGGCTAAAACCAAATGGGTGAAAAATTGGTAACATTAGAAAAAATAAATGGCCCAAGCAACAAAAACAAATGTGCATACCTGAATCTAGATTTTTTCAATTTTTTCTTGGTTATTGAGACGGGAGGCTTTTCAGAATAATGCAAACGTAGTCTTATTTCTGTCTGACATGTCAGCCATCCAGAATCCAGAGTTTCAACACCATCTGGCAGAGTAAACACACGAACAAGAGCAATCATTAGTTTTCTAAAGTAACACAATTATAACACACATGATTCTAGTCCTCACATTTTAATACACTAAAGTTGTATAATATTAGTCCTTCACTTGGTCAAATATCCAGATAGTCTTAAAAATTTGTCACTAAAAGGAACCTCACAGGAAGTAAAGACTAAAAGTTAAGTTAGTTACAACTAGCTGTGCTTTAAAAAGTAGATCCTAACAATGTTACTGACATCACCCTCTGAGTAACACTGACCTGGGTCAGGACAGTGTCCCCGGGGACCCCTGTCAGACCTCCGTGCTTCACAGCAGATTCAGCTCAACTAGTGACATCCTGGAGTTTTACAGTTAAGACAGAAGAAGACAGGGATAAAACTACAAGTCAACTCTGCACCTTCCTATTTCTTCACCTCGCCATAAACTGCAGTACCATGGTGTTAGTATTGTGTAACTTGAAACTATCCCTAAGCTTTTTCATTAACATAGTTTTTAAAAAGACACTTCTCTCCACAAATATAACTGTTTAATAATTGTCAATTTTTTAACCAGTGCATGGCAAAATAAATCAAATGGTTTCATTCTGAAAGCTAAATAAAGCTGAATTTAGGAGAATGGTAACAACAAAGAAATGCCGTGTATAACCCTTGATCGTCACACATAACGCAGGGAGGGACACAACACCAGACATTACCAATGAGATGAGCAAACAATCCAAAATACATAACATAAAAACAGTGAAAGAGGACAAGATTCTACAACAAACAATAATGCTGTTCTAGCATATCGTGCTGCTGCTGCAACACCCACAATGTCAGACCAATTCCGAGCAGTTCAAACCCCCATCCAAACACTGCCACGGCAGGCACCACCATGTGAGGATGCGCAGAGCAACACTACAACCAAGCCACTCAGGCCCTATTTCATTTTCTGCTTGATAGGAAACTGGTGATTGGCAATTTACCTCTAGGCCAAGGTCAGCTCAAACACATTCTGCCAACTCCCCTTCCATCTTTTGTCTCCCTAGTTCAGTATCTGAGTGAAATTTAGCAAGATGACCCTAGTAACATTAAGACAATTCCAGTCATTAAAGAAATTTTGAGTGGCCATTGAATGGCATGCATAGTAAGCTAATCCTCTGCCTGCAGCACCTGGTTCCCATTCAGTCCCGGCTGCTGGATTTGTGGCCCAGCTCCCTGCTATGGCCTCGAAGAGTGGAAGATCCTGGCTTAGGTCCTTAGACCTGACACCCATGTGGGAGACCAAAACGAAATTCTTGGCTCCAGGCTTCAGATCAGCTTAGCTCTGGTCAAGTGGTTATTTGGTTATCTTTCTGTCTCTCGCTGTAAATCTGCCTCTCAAATAAAAATGACCAATCTTTATATATAAAAAAAAAGAATCTTGAATCATCAGAGTAAAAGAAAACTATGGTAGTGTACAATATTCAACATATTTTCAAAGTTAAGGAAGAATTTTTACTAAACTGAGAAATAACTTTTTTTGAAGATTTAGCTCTTTTTATTGAAAAAGCAGATATACACAGAGGAGAGACAGAAAGATCTTCCATCCACTGGTTCACTACTCAAATGGCCACAATGGCTGGAGCTGAGCCAATCTGAAGCCAGGAGTCAGGAGCTTCTTCCTGGTCTCCCAGGCAGCTGCAGGGTCCCAAAGCTTTGGGCCGTCCTCCACTGTTTTCCTAGGCCACACGCAGGGAGCTGGATGGCAAGTGGGGCCACCAGGACACAAACCAGTGCCTGCATGGGATCTTGGCACATGAAAGGTGAGGACTTTAACACTAGGTTACTCAACTGGGCCCTGAGAAACGATTTTTAAAGACACAGCCACGGCAGGCATCGTGAGCACAGTGTGTCAAGCCAGCACTTGAGTTATTCACATCCCCTGCCAGGGTGCTGCTTTAAACCCTGGCTGCTCTGCTTCCAAGTCAGCTTTCTGTTAACACGCCTGGAAAGGCAAAAGATGACAGCCCAAGTACTTGGGTATTGCCATCAAAGGACCAAGACACAGATATGGCCACAAACTTTGAATTCCTTTTTTTTTTTTTAAGATTTATTTATTTTCACTGCAAAATCAGATCCACAGAGAGAAGGGAAAACAGAAAGATCTTCTGTTTTCCACTGGCTCACTCTCCAAGTGCCCTCAACAGCTGGAGCTGAGCTGATTTGAAGCCAGGAGCTTCCTCCAGGTCTCCCACGGGGGTGTAGGACCCCAAGGCTTTGGGCGAGCCTCCACTGTCCTCCCAGGTCACAGGCAAGGAGCTGGATAGGAAGTTTATGGGAAGTGGAACAGCCGGGACATGAACTGGCACCCATATAGGATCCCAGTGAGGATTTAGCCAGTAGGCTACTGAGCCGGGTTCACTCCTGGCTTTTAATCAACCCAGCCCAAGTGGCTGCTATAGGCACTTGGAGAGTGAACCAGCAGATAGTAGATCTTTCTCTTTCTCTCACTTGCCTTTTCAAATAAATAGGCAAATGCGGTACACACATCATATGATCAGCCAGAATTACTAATATATTCTGGCCAGTCTGGATTTTAACATTAAGTGCATACACAGACGCTAGTTTGGTGGCACACCAAGTCCTTCCTCTGAACACCCCACTTCTGATCCAACTCCAGCAAATGCCCTGGGAAAAGCAGAAAATGGTCTAAGAGTTTGGGCTCCTGCCATCCACTGGGAGACCCAGGAGCTTCTGGCTCCTGGCTTCAGCTTGACACAGTGCTGGTCACTGAGAACACCCAGGGAGTAAACAAGAAACAGGACTCTGTCGCTGCAGCTCCTCCTCTCTCGCTAACTCCGACTTTCAAACTCAAGGTTCAAGAAATACACAACATGTACAAAGCAATTAAACTGTTTTTGGATCACATCTGTTTTCAAGATCATACATATATGCCCTATTTCCCTATGCTATTTGTTTCCAATGAAATGTAAGGCAGTGAACAGTAAACATTTTAAAACTCAGTCTTACTGTGAATTCCAAACTGTCCATCGTCGATAGTAATTTCACTTTCTAGAATTCAAGGAAAATAGAAAACCTAGTTAATATTCATGACATACACATTATGAAATGAGAAGTTACCCACTTTTAAGACTATTCAAACATTTAATCTACAACTTCAAAAGCTGCCTAAAGTGAATAAGCATATTTATTGTAGCCCTCAGCAAGGAGCCCCTTTGTAAGCAGCAGGCTTAACCAATAGGATTGTTCTTGGAAGCTTGGATTGCTTTTCATCAAACAATAAGGAAGAGAAAGAATGTTCCCTGGTAGGTGCTGTGGAGGCCCGAGGACGCCTTCCGCACCCACCAAGCTGCTGGACAACGGTAACTGCTAGTGTTTTCAAACCCAGGGTCTTGGTACAATCAAAATGCTTATTCTTACTTGCTGCATATTCTGAACTCATGTAAAATGCCATTCTCCTCAAATCTCAAGGATTCTCCACAGCCAGCTAAAAGCTTCACAAACAGCCAACTTACCTGTGCGTCCACGGCCGTGAGGAACTAGCGAAGCCACCGCACTGCTAGCTTCCTCTCCCGGGCCTGCAGCCGCAGGAGAAGCTGCAGAGGCCCCCGGCAGGAAGTCCTCGCCTTCCTGCCTCACTTCTAAGTCTGAAAGGCTAAACCAATGCTAGCTCCTGACAAAGATTCTCACATAGAGCACTTGACATCATTACTCTACTTTTCATATCAAAATACATTTACTTGCAAGATGCTTCAAAATGCATTTTGAATGCTGAATCCCTAATAAATTCTAATCTCAGTATGAAGCTACTATAATTCTAAATATTCTATCACAAAATCTTTAAATATACTATGAAAAATGTACTAAAATATATCCAAAACACCTGAGAGGACGGATGAGATGCTTGTGTAAAGAAAGTGTGTCCTCGCTACAGCACAAGCACAACCTGTCACTGTTTTCTATACAGGCAAAAAAACCAGCCAGCCGGATACCTTACATTCTAATTCTACCTGGAAACTGAAAGATACGGATCTCAGCACTGAATCACTTTAGAGATGACTACAAGTAGGTAATTTAATGTATGTGAAATGAGCTTCAAACTCTATTACAGAATGGAAGAGGAAATTAAAAAATACTGCCAGAAGAGAAATGCCATTTGATAGGCTCCAGAAAACAGAAGTGTTTTGCCAACAAAAACACTGAATTTTAATTCTAGCACCATTAGCAGTCAATGTAAATCAATTATCAGGAACATGCTTACTATAGCAAAGAAATCTGAATTCATACAAGTTTACTCGAGTACATACTAGCTTAAAAAAAAGGCAACAGAAGAAATAGAACAACTTACTATTTAAAGTTAAAATTTTAAGAGTCTTTGTTTTGGGTTCTTTAGCTCTATGCAGTAACCCAATAAAGCCATGATGCTAAGTCAACACGACAGCTTAATGCTCTTAAGGCCTAAGCAGTAACCAAATAAAGCCAAGATGACTATTATCTTACAAACCTTAACTACCCCAAATAGAACTAGGTATTTTAAAATCAATTAGCTAAACCCTAGAAAACAAAAACTAGGCAAGCATTTCTAATAAAGGTTATAAAGAAAGGCAATTAAGAACTATTTAATTTTGAAAGTAAGATACATGAAATCCTAGGTGCAACTGGTAGCACTGATAATGCATTGACTTTAACTCTTTAGAATAAATCTTCCTTAAATCCCACTATGTCATTGACCAGCACACTAGTATTTTTACGCATATGCCTCAAACAGATGCAGCGAATGCCCATACCTAAAGGGGTTATTGATCGTGGTTGTAGATGAGTCTCCCACTTGTGAACTATGACTTGACATGGGCCACCGATAGTCTGCAATTTAAAAGTTACACGTCTGCAATAATTTCTTATATCTTATTTTCTACCAATGACTCCATTAGATGTTTGTGGTCTTAGTCTTATACTAAATATGAGACCAAGAGATTCATCTTGTTAATTATCAGTATTATATGCCCCAAAGCAGGAATGTACCAGGTCACAAAACATGATGAAAATGCTGGAAGAAAAGGAGAGTGAAGCAGTAAACAAAAAAAAATGAGATGAACTAGCACACAAAACTGTCTTAAAACCCATTCTTACATCTGTCTTCAATACCCAATTTTTTTCCAAAGGAAAAAAGCTTAATTTTTAACAGATACTGTGTCTTCAAAGTCAGCACTCAATAAATTTTGTTCGGTATGCCAACAATTAGGTGTTCCTATCAAAGTCTCTCTCTCTACGTCTCCCGGCCTAAGCGAGTCTCCAACAGTGGAGCTGCAGGCGCAAGGAGGTCAATCAATGACCACAGAACTCTGAAGGAAGTCAAGGGCACAGAAGAGTCTTTCTTCAGTTAAGTATGCAAGGACATCAAAGTTCGTCCGTCACAGTGACCAGCATTTCTAAAAAACGTAAGAAGCCCTCAAAGAAAGGATACATGGACAGGTAAATTTGAAGAACAAGTGCGATTAAAGGGGAACTAACAGTTTTATCCGCTCAATTTTTTATTTCATAATGTAACAATTCCTAATACTGTCTTTGCTATCAATCACTAAAAACAAAAGCTGTATGTGTTCCTGATAACACAAACCATTTTAGATCAACAACAAACCACCAAGATTCTGAATGTTCCTAGAAGACCACAGCTTAAGTGTCCTAATGTGCCTTTAATTCTGAAGAAAAATCAGCTAATTAAAATTACGTGCCAAAGGAAAGCCCTATAAACACACAGATCTTGAAATTCTCAAATAACCTTACATATTTCAGTTTTTCCTTAACATGTCCTTTGAGCCCTTTTCTAGACATATTTTACACTAAAAAGTCCAGAACACATTTTTCTTCTATATATTGTACTTCTTCAAATGGCACTAAAAAGTTACATATACAGAATATATATATATTTCAATGTTGACTGTCTCTAGTAAGTGCTAAATGATACCAAGCATTTAATAAATTTGGCACATTAAATTTTTGCTTTTATTTATTTCTTTATTTTTAAATTCTTTTAACTGGAAAGTCAGATTTACAGAAAGGAGAGACAGAGAAATCTTTCATCTGCTGGTTCACTTCCCAAGTGGTCACAACAGCCAGAGCTGAGATAATCCAAAGCCAGGAACCAGGAGCTTCTTCCAAGTCTCCCACATGGGTGCAGGTCCCAAGGCTTTGGGCCATCCTTGACTGCTTTCCCAGGCCACAAGCAGGGAGCTGGATGGGAAGTGGGGCCGCCAGGACACAACCAGCACCCATATGGGATCCCAGTGCATGCAAGGTGAGGATTTAGCTGCTAGGCTATTGCGCCGGGCCTGGCACATTAAATATTTAAACAAAGGTAATTCTGTCACCTAAAATAACAGGTTAAAATTTCTTGTTTTTGCAAACATAAAGTTTAAAATCTGAAACAGACTGGATATGCAAATAGTTAATATGGAAAAATGCTTTTTGTTTAGCTGTGTGCCTGGTTGCCACAGTTTACTTACAGATTGGGCAAAAACTGTTGAAAGGATGTATTCCGGGGGCCATCACGATGGCTCAAGCTGCTAATACTCTACCTGCAAGCACTGGGACTCCATCTAGGCACTGGTTCGTGCCCCACCTGCTCCACTTCCCATCCAGCTCCCTGCTTGCGGCCTGGGAAAGCACTGCAGGCAGACCCAAAGCCTAGGGACCTGCACCCATGTGGGAGACGCAGAAGAAGCTCCTGGCTCCAGGCTTGGGGATCAGCTCAGCTGCACCCACTGAGGCCATTTGAGTGAACTAATGGATTAAAGATCTTTGTCTTTCACTCTCTGTAAAATCTGCCATTCCAATAAAAACTTTAAAATCTTAAAAAAATAAATAAAAGAATGTATTCTGAAATAACTTATTCCAAACGTGCTGCATTTATCTCCATTATACCAAAAAAAAAAAGGAGATACATTTACTGCTATACCTGCCAAGTGACATTACTTTCTTACCTATTAAAAAACAAACAAAAAACAAAAGCAAAACCTCTCTAGACTTCAAAGGATGGACAAATCCACATTTAAGGACAGGTATGCTTCTCAGCAGGAGACGACGCTGTGCTTTCCATCCAGCTCTCCAGCTCCCCTCCTGCCACCTACTCTAAAAATCTCTTCTCTGTAAAGGTGGTATGGACTTAAAATTTTATATAAACTAACATCAAAGGTAAGGTTAGAATGGTAAACTTACTATGTTGACTGGAATTAAAATGTGGGTGGCAAAAATGAGAGGGAATATTTTGTTTTGTCTTAACTCGGAAGTACCTAACAAAGCATTTAATCATATTTCTAGAATTAATGATGTAAAAACAGTCCTGTGGACTAAGTATTTGATAAGGAATCTATTTTAGCAACAGTTTTAACTCCACTCATACCATACCATAAAACAATCCAGACCTAGCAGAGATCTGAGGAAAAGTCTGAGGGGCCAGTTTAACAGGTCACTTACGATTCTGTTAGCATTTAGACTACAAATCCTTGTTAGATAGTATATGAACTGCCACAATACTGAGTAAAAAAAAAACCTTTCTTTTAAAAAGTTTGCTTCTAAAATTGCTATAAAGTTCTTTAAAAAAAAATTTAGAAACTATTGAACATTCAAAAGCTTTAAAACTCAGTGATCACTTTACAGCATGCAATCCTTCCTAACATCTTCAGGTTTCAGAGAAAAGTACAGGGTGGATCTTTGGGAAAAAATAACAAATAGCATCAATCCAAATCAATATTGCATTAATGGCACTAGTGGAGTTATCTTACTTCTGCAGATACAAAAATCAGATGGCTACAAAAAGGTTTACGCTTGTAAACATATATAAACAAAAAACAGTTTAAGGGGGAAAGGCCTTGCTGATTGCCTCCCTCAACAGTTCCTGACTTCATCAGCGATATCCAGCACTGAGAAACACAAACACCATCAACATGCTAACTGGAGGGTTATTTCTAATTTCTAATAAATTTCCAAAAATTAGCTAGTCAAGTAATATCACTGTGTGTAGATGTTAAATTGTCATCTCCAACAGCTAAAGTAACCTGTATGTCAAGGGTGGGAACAAGAAATGTTTACTGATAACATCACACAGAGGCCAAACTCAACATTATTTAACAGTCTCTGTTTTGTAAGAGAAGTAAGAAAAATGGTCATCTAGGCTTGAGTAAAGCCAAGCAAGCTAGGTAAACAGCTAAATGCTTCTGAGAAGGTTCAAAACTCAGCATTTCAGAGCATTTAGCATCCAGAAGAATGTCACTACATTAAAAAAACCACTTGCTATCCTGGAAATGAACTGTTATTTGTCTATCATAGATGACTGTTTTGTAAAAACCTTTAAACAAAAATCAGGAAGAGTAAGATAATTAATTCACGAGTGAATGTTAGCATCTGTAAAAGCTGGAAATCTAGTGATGCTACTAAAAGCAAAGACCTGTTTTGATAAAAAAAAAAAAACAAAAACAAAAACAAAAAAACACCTTTTCAAAAGTAGGAACAAGAACTGGCTAACAGCTCCCTATGAAACACTCCTAATCACAGCTACCTGCAAAGGATGAGCTATGAATTATGAGAGAATAGTTAAACTGCCTGCTGATGTAAGCGCACATTGGGGAAGATGTGACACCCATGAAGCGCCTGCCTGCACAGGCATCCAGCGTGTTCATCCAGAGACTGCCTGTGCTTGCTCTGTTAGTGTACCTATCACTGACACAATTATTTTAAAATTCAATACTGTGTTCTAATTTCACAAAGAAAATAGAGCTATGAAAAACAAATATTTGAAACTTGCAACTTTTAAACTGAAAGGAATGTCAGAAAAAGCAAAGTATGGAAGAGAAAACATGAATGATAAAATTTTATTTGCTCACAATAAAATTTTAGTAACGAAAGGACCTAAGAAAGCTGCAGTTGAAGCCTGTCATTTTATGGGTGAAGAAGTTTAAGTCCAAAACATGAGTGGCTTGTTCAAAACCACAAAACTTGACCGGGTAGTTACCTCCTAAAGTTCTTGACCCAGTAAAACCAACCTTCTCTCCCAGCTCAGCTTTGCCATGTTGTCAACATCACTCTAGTCCCACCATTCTCTACATTCACTGAATACAGAGGCCGTTAGTTCACAACATTTCAGGTTAAGACCCCTTGCGATCAATTCCATCATTGAACAATGCGCAACTCAACAAGATTTAATAAATCTAATAAAAATGTTTCATTTAAAAGGCGCCACCAACTTTTAAAAGAAATAAATGTCACTATAAGTTGGCATATGGGAGGGAAAAAACCTCTAGCCATATGCATGGAATTTTATGTAGCTATTGACTCTATTCCATGAAAAACATACTTACCATGGCGGCCCCTGCATCACACGGTACATGTGTACGCGATACAGAGCACCTACTTAAAGAAACACACTCACCAACACATACTGTAAACTTTTGCAAGTATTACAAGGGAAAAACTTGTTTTTTACTGTTATGCAGACTTCTTGCCAATTTTTCCAAAGGGTAGCTGGAGTGATTTTGTTCCTTTTGGTTACATTTTCAATGAAAAGGAAAATGACTGTGGGTTGGCTTGATTTAACATATGTTAACAACAGTCTTACTTTAGAAATCACTGTTTTTCCATATCCAAGTAAAATCTAATTGATTTCACATGTTGCAAAGCTAACTTTCATATCCCGCATTCTCAAATATATTTTCAATGTTTTGAGTGCTATGGCCTACATTTCTGTTTCTAATTGTTTGATTGATACTGATAATTATGCCATGCTGCATAACACCAATGCCAAACAGTAGATGCTGTTACGTCACTGAGTAAGACTATTGTCAAGATAAGCCAACAATGATCAACCATAATGTAATTTAAGTTCAATTACTGAGTACTTATAAAAAATATTCTTATAATAAAAACGTAATAGGTGCAAAAGACAGCTGAAGTGGGTTTGTCAGTCTTCTTTTTTATGATGGTGGCTAGAGCACAAATAGTGGCTGCTTGTACAAGTGTTCAGCAGCCCCCACAGGAAGTCTTCTTCAGGAAGCTCTAGTGAGGCTAGTTCCTATACACCTGCCTGAGCCTTTGTTCACTTGCAGCCCAAGTGTGTGCAAAGGTAAAAATTCAGTCAATAACTATCTGTAAAGGTTAAAGAATCAACATTTTTGTCTTTACTAAATATGAAAACAACCCCCAAATAACAAACTGTGGTAAGCAGGCAGGTTGAGAACACGTATTTCAGAGGCCTTCAGAAAACATCCTGGCCTAGCAAGTCTTTGAAAAACATACAACGCGGAATCACTTCAATTTTCACAGACATGTAAAACAACACAGCCATCAAAAAATGGCTGCAGCTAAATAATTTTATAAATATACACTTAAGCCTGGCTATGTACTCCTCTAAATTAATACCACAAAATAATTTAAAACAAAATAAAAAGGAAAATCTTTGCAACTGGTTACTAATTAGTTCAAAGTACCAGAAGATGCACACCTTCAAAGAACACTTAGCTTTACGGCAAATGTTGTGACTTTGTGATTTCAGAGCATACTTACTATTATTAGTCTTTAGAACTTGCTGGCAGAGAAGGTCTGCCTGTGATGTGGCTATCACCTTGCAACCTAAATGTTAACTAAGAATTCTGTTCCTTATTTGACCCAAACAAACTTATTTTGTTTTTAAATTGTGTTCAAATTAGTTGCTTTGGAAAGAAGTACTGAAGACAATGGAATGTGGATACAGAAAACATACCTTTGGTTCTAAAAAGCACCCTTTGAAGTAGCGATACTGAACTGACGTTCCTCTATTGAGTACAATGGTTACTTTCCATGACATGCTGTTAGGAGAGAAAGAAAGCAGAGCCATCAGGACCAAACTCCACTGAGGGGAGCCTGCTCACTCACAGCGACTCTGCAGGAGCCCAGCACCACCTCCTACCCAGAGGTCTCCTTCAGTCCTGTGCAGCAGGCACACAAAAAAATTCCCTACAGTTCATGATTGCAGTTGATTCTGAGCTTCAAGTCATATTTTGTGTCCAAAATACGGTCCACGATCTTTAATCTTTAGGATCAGACAGGACACTGTCAAAAATGCAGACTCACACGCTGTCCCAGGCCCATTCAATCTAGTCTCCGGGGCTAGGTCCTCCAACAACCTGGATATAAGATTTTTATAATGGTGGCCAAGAGAATAAATAGTTGCTGTATTTTACAAGCTAAGGTGAGAGTCAGCAGGAGAACATGACCCAAACCTTCCTTCAGCCTCAGGGTAGCTCAGTGAACACAGAGCAGCTCCAGGTTCCTTCTGGAAGGCCAGATGGCAGACATAGCTGCCACTGTGGCTGTACCAAGCCACTCCACTTTCCAACCCAATCCTGGCTCCTAACAAAAGATCCACAAACAGCTGTCACCCTTGAGACCCTGCACCCAGAAGATCTGGGTGGGAGACCCGGAAGCTCCTGGCTCCTGGCTTTGGATTGGCTCAACTCTAGCTGTTGCAGCCATCTGGGAAGTGAACCAACAGACGGAAGATCTTCCTCTGTGTCTTTCCTCCTCTCTGTAAATCTACCTTTCCAATAAAAAACAAAAACCAAACCAGAAAATCAAATCCTCCCTAAGCAATCTAATGTCCAGCACTGGTTGAGAACCACAAAACAGAAGCAATAAAACCTGAGCCTTTGGAAAGCATGAAAAACAGAAAGAAAGAAGGAAAAAAAAAAAAAAACCCACAAAATGATGACAATGCACAGCAGGAGTTTTTTACTCTACTTCTCTAAGGTAAAACAGCAAAGGTCCCTGTGCTCAGCTGGCTAACCCTCCGACTACAAGTACCGGGATCCCAAGATGCTCCACTTCCCATCCAGCTCCCTGCTTATGGCCTGGGAAAGCAGCAAAAGATGGCTCAAATCCTTGGGACCCTGCAGCCATATGGGAGATCCGGAGTAAGCTACTGGCTTCAGCTCAGCTCAGCTTTGGTCACTGTGGCCATTTGGGGAATGAACCAGCAGCGAAATATTCTGTCTTCTTCTCTCCGTAAATCTGCTTTTCCTATAAAAGCAAATAAATCTTTAAAAAGAAAAAAAAAGAAAGAAAAAGAAAGAAAAAGAAAGAAAGAAAGAAAAAGAAACAATAAAATTAAGAATAAGCCATGGGACCAGTGTTGTACCGTAACGTGTTAATGGGCTAAGTTGCCATATATTATATGGGTGCTATATGGGTACCAATTCTTGCCCCAGCTGTTCCACTGACAATCCAGCTTCTTGCTAGTGCACCTGGAAAAGCAGTGCATGACAGTTCAAGTTCCTGGGCCTCTGCCACTCATACTGAGACCCAGAAGATCCTGGCTACTGCCTTCCACTTGGCCTAGCCCCAACAGTGGTAGCCATCTGGGAAGTGAACCAGTGGATGGAAGATCTCTTTTCCTGTCTTTCCCTCTAATCTCTCTTAACTCTTTCAATATAAACAAATCTGTCTTTTAAAAATATGTAAAGAACAAGGAGACTTAAGTATTGTTCAGTGACTTAAGAATGACCTTCATCTGACAAACTGCAAGAGGAAGCAGGCAGCGAGGTAGCTCCGCACAGCGCCTGGTTTTGAACTGCGCTCACACGCTTCCTCAGGAGAGGCTGTGAGTAGACAGCCATTCCAGCAGAGCTCCAGCTGCTGCCAGCCAGGGCTCTGGAAGGCTGTGGGGCCGGGGTGGGCCGGGTGGCAGCAGGGCTAAAGTGCAGCTCAGGATCCCAGCTTCCAATCACAGATGGAGCCTCTCCTCATCCAGCTTCCTAGTAAGGCGCACCCTGGGGGATCTGCCGGAGACCTGGATGTGTTCTGGCCCAGGGCCATGGGTCTCGGCCTGCTGCACGCGAATGACCCAACAGATGACAGCCTGATCACTACCGCTCTTCACATGCACAGACTGAGTGCCAGTGAGGGGCATGAGGGGAGGCTGACTCTGAGAAAGGCACGGAGAACTCACAGGATGTTGGCTGAAGGCAAACAGATGACCCTGGGTCATCTCCTTCTCCACTCCCTGTGAAGCAATCGATCTGCGAGGTAGCAATCCTCAGTGTACATCAGTGAAGAAATGGCTGGTCCCTTAAAGTCAAGTACAGCTATCTCATTCCGCTCCCATCACGTTACCAGGCTGGGCGAAATCAACTCAAGACAGCAGAGGTGTTTTATCGACAAGCTCAGGAGTGGCTGATCAGAAAATTAAGGAAAAGCAGCCACTTGAAGGGAATAAACCAATGTGTCACTCTGTGAAAGACTGCGGAAAAGGACACATCAGTACCATTTCTCAAAATCCTACCTACAAAAACAGGTTAGTTCTGTGGTGCAATAAGCCAGCATCCCCTATGGGGGCAGGTCCAAGCCCCAGATGCCTCATTCTGATCCAGCTCCCCGTTTGTGGCCTGGGAAAGCAGCAGCGGATGGCCCAAGCCCTAGGGCCCTGGTCTTACGTGAGACCTGGAGAAAGCTCCTTGCTCCTGCTTTCAGACTGCTCCAGTTACTTGTGCAGTGAACCAGCAGGAAGATTCTCTTTCTCTGATTTTCAAAAACATAAACCTAAAAAGCAAAATCTACCTATGAAAACAGCTGAGAAAGTGTCATTCCACTGGAAAGATGTTCTAGCGTGTTTTTGGTTTTTCTTCTCCCACAAGTCACATTATGGAACTGCTCTACTTGCCTTTGTTTTATTATCATCCTCTTCCAACTACCTGCTATGAACAATCAGCTTGTTTTCTCACATCTCTCCTCAGTCTGTCTGGACACCACTACCTCTATGATCCACCTATCCAGTTCAGTGAAGCAAGTCCGAGTTCATGTGACATGCGTCGATGTCCTGTCAATGCCAGACAGCCACAAAGGATTCTAAATGTCTTTCCATCTCTGTACTTTTGCTTTTTAAAGAGTTATTTACTTTTATTTGGAAAGTCAGGTATACAGAGAGGAGAAGAGAGAGGAAGATCTTTCATCTGACGGTTCACTCCCCAAGCGACCGCAACAGGTGGAGCTGAGCCACTCTGAAGCAAAGAGCCAGGAGTTTCTTCTAGGTGTCCCACATGGGTGCAGGGTCCCAAAGCTTTGGGCTGTCCTCGACTGCTTTCCCAGGTCACAAGCAGGGAGCTGGATGAGAAGCAGGTTGGCCAGGATTAGAACCAGCGCCCATGTGGGATCCCTGGGCATTCAAGGCGAGACTTAAACTGCTATGCTACAGTGCCGGGCCCCAATCTCTGTATTCTTCCCTCATAAGTGGTTAGACTTTTGACCAGTGCTATCTAAGGGGCACATTTTCAGTGATGCTGCTGTACAGGAAACAGACTTTAAGTCTCAAGCGCCCTAACAATTCCCTAACAAGTGCCGATCATTCCTTACAGGGGCCATTGGATGCATCTATGCCACTTACAAGCTATAACAAAGTGTGGAAAGTGTCACCACCTTACCTGCAGGTGCCCGAGCCCCATTCATAGCTCTGGCTCAGGCCATAGCTGGCTGCCTGTAGGAAGCCGGCCCCACTGTATCTGTGACAAGGCTAATGCAAGACTGAATTAACATTCAATGCATCTTTTTACATTACCTAAGACAAAGCGTGTGTTCCGCTTTGTGCTTCTTTTAGTTAATACCATATACTTTAACAAGATAATTACATAGATGAAAAAAATAATTAGGTCTTTAATATAGAATATGTACCGAGAATCCAAGTTAATGCATTACAAGGCAATATAATGGGGGGGGGGGGAGCATCATGGCCCAACAGACTAATCCTCCAACCTGTGGCACCAGCATCCCATATGGGCACCAGTTCATGTCCCAGCTGCTTCACTTGCGATCCAGCTCCCTGCTTATGGCCTGGAAAGCAGCAGAGAGCTCAGGTCCTTGGACCCTGCACCCGTGTGAGAGTCCCAGAAGACCTAGAAGGTCCAGAAGAAGCCCCTGGCTCCCAAATTCAGATCAGCTCAGCTCTGGCCTTTGAAGCCATCGGGGAATGAGCAAGCAAACAGAAGACCTTCTCTCCAGCACTCCTTCTCTCTGTAAATCTGCCTTTCAAATAAAAGATACATAAATCTTTTTTTTTTTAAAAGGGCAATATTTGGAAGCATGGTTTTTAAATATCAAAAGAACTAGTCAAGAGTTTTAAGTACATGTGAAAGAAAGCATTCATCAAAACTAAAACCCCAAGAAAGCCATCTCTCCAAAGTCCCCTGGTTCCATGACCCAAGTCCCCGACGTCCTGTAACCTGACACCTGTGCTTACCTTTCCCCGGTCTCATTCTCTGGAAGAAGAGTGACAGCACTTTGAGGGTTCCAGTTGCCCAATGCATCACAGCTTCCACATATTGCAAAAACTTCTCCTGAAGAAACAGAACCATCAGTCCGTCAGTTACAATGTTAGGGCTCCGCAGGTAAGTTTCACATTTTAGTTCTAAGAAAGCAAAGCAGACAGTGGCATCAGCTCAGCCGACACAGACTCCCATTGGCACAGAGTCAGGAGCCTCGGTGGAGACTGCATCGGGTGGAAGGATCATGGGATCAGACTCACCCGTCCAAACCCCCCAACGCCAGAGAAAGGGACAAGCACGGGGATAACATGCTACAGATCAACATTATAACCTGGACAGCAGCAATGTGATCTTAAAATCCTGAAAAGCAGTCAGCACTGTGTCTTAGTGAGTAAGTCTGCCATGCTGGCATCCCATGGGGTGTTGCTTGAAGACCCAGCTGATCCACTTCCAATCCAGCTCCCTGCTAATCCAGAAAAGCAGCAGAGGATGGTCCAAGTTTTGAGCCCCTGAAGCCACCGGGAGAACTCACGAAGCTCCTGGCTCTGGCTCGTTCCAGCCCTGGCAGCTGCGGCATTTGGGGAGTAAGCCAGTGGATTGAAATCCTTTCCCCTTCTCTCTAACTCTTTTAAAAACATTTTTTAAAAATCTTAAAAAAAAAAAAACCTCAAGGTGGGACAGTAGCAATGTAATATTAAAATTACTAAAGACTTCGTGAAAAAAATCTAAAACTATAGGTAGCTCTAAGCACCTGTGTTAGCACTTCATAAGCTTAGACTGTCTAAAACTGCCTGAAACTCGAGCGTGGCAGTTAACACATGCAAGTCCTCAGGACTATGTGGGGATCACATGTCAAATAGAAATCTTTTTGAAGTAACAAGATTTATGTTCTGATTATGTTCAGATTATGTTCATCACTACTTTGGGATTTTTTAAAAAGGTAAACAACAGTGCTGACTCTGAAGCCCAAATGCCCATCTTCATGACCCTTACGCTGCTATGTAATGCGCGGTGCACTGCAGCTCCCAGTTCTCAAGGGACAGATGACTGCGGAGCCACTGTTCTGGCTGCTGCAAATCCCTCACAAACTCATGCAAACCTTCATAGAGTGAGTTTTTTATTCACACGCAAAGTAGCAGGCTACGAAGCACAAAGAACAGAATCCCCAGATGGAAAGAGTGAAACTTGGGGAGGCAGTAGTTCAGCTTCCTCTGAGGGTCTTTCTCTGCTTCCCTGGGAATAACGTCTCTGAACACTTTTTTTTTTTTTTTAATCTCAAAAGCAGAGTTACAGAGAGAAAGAAAAATCTACAACTGTTGATTCACTCCCCAAATGGCTGTGAAGGGCCAGCGACTGGCCAGACTAAAGCCAGAAGCTTCATCCAGATCTCCCACACGGAGACAAGCGCCCAAGTCACCACCACCTCCCTTCCCCATGTCAAGTTAATTCTTCTGCAGCTAATGCTGTCATCACTCAATGCACCTGACACTGTCAGCTTCCAACTTACAGGGCCCTCTGACAACTCCCTCAAAAGGGGCATGTGGTTCTGTGTCCTTCTTTTCAAGAGGAGGCTGCACATGGACCAGGGCGGAGAGCCTGACTCAAGGGGAAAGGAGCTCTCAGACGACCGGTATTCTCCAATCTGCACAATTCTGTCCAGAGGTGGAGCTGTACCACATTAGCCTGGCTAATAGTTTGAACTCACAAAGCTTGCCAACTGCTATGACAGTGGCTGAAACAAACATGTTAGGTATAACATGAGTCGTTCATTTATTCTTTGAATGCATGTTTACTCCACTCGTGTTCTGTTCGAGCCAGGCACTACGCTAGGTGCAGGAATGCAGCACACACAAGCCCAACACACACTTTCTTTTTTTTTTTTTTTTTTTTTTAAAGATTTATTTTTATTATTATTTTTTATTGGAAAGGCGGATATACAGAGAGGAGAGACAGAGAGGAAGATCTTCCGTCCGATGATTCACTCCCCAAGTGAGCCGCAACGGGCCGATACTATGCCGATCCGAAGCCAGGAGCCTCTTCCGGGTCTCCCACGCGGGTGCAGGTTCCCAAAGCTTTGGGCCGTCCTCGACTGCTTTCCCAGGCCACAGGCAGGGAGCTGGAAGGGAAGCGGGGCTGCCGGGATTAGAACCGGCGCCCATATGGGATCCCGGGCGTGCAAGGCGAGGACTTAGCCACTTGCGCCACCGCGCCGGGCCCCCAACACACACTTTCACAGTGCTTACAACAAATACACTGAAACAACTGTAAAACCTAAGAGAAGAGGCCAGTGTTAAAGTGCAGCACACTGAGCCACCGCAAAATAAGACATGCGTCCTAGATGGGCTCGAGTTTCAGTTGCCTCACTTCTAATCTAGTTATCTCCTAATGTGCCTCAGAAGGCACTAGAAGACGGCCCAAGTGCTAGAGTCCTGGCACCCAGGGGGAAACTAGACTGAGTTTCATCCAAGCTCCTGCCATCATGGCCATTTGGTGAGTGAATCAGTGGGTAGAAAACCTGTCTGTCTGCCTCTCCCTTTGTCTTTCAAATAAAGTAAATCTTTACCAAAAAAAAAAAAAAAAAAAAAAAACCACCTAAGTGATAGAATAAACTCATGTCAAATACTGAGAAAATGTCACCGAGGCTATGACACAGGGAAGAGTCAGGAACAGGGATGGGCAGATACAAATTTGAGAATACCCCCCATGACCACCACCAAAAAAAAAGGGGAGAAAAGGGAAAGAAATGCAGCAGATCTGGAGAACTGAAAAAGGCCACCAGGACCAGCGCAGTAACAGGGCAGCAGGCAACCCAGGTGGAATGCAGTTTCAACATGCCATTTTACACTAAAATCACTGCACAATTCCTCAATAGAAAAAAAAAAAATAGAGAAAGAGAGATGCCAAAAAAAGGTGCATTCCTAGGTAGAAAACAAAACTATATCCAGGCCAAATATTTTACCAAACTTCTACACTAGCAAGTTCCTTCATTTTCATGCTTCTTTAAAACACACACACACACACACACACACAACCATCTACATTCTGTGAAAAAAACATATTCAGTTTACTTGGAAAGCTTGAGAATAAGACATTATGAAAATTTCTTCCCTTGCATTTAGTAGGCTGAGGATTATCAAACAAGGCCTACAGCCCACTGTTATTTTCATATAAAAATCAGGCACATTCTAAGAACTATGTATTTAAGATAACTTAAGTAACAGGCTTGAGGCTACGAGGTGGTGTAATAAGTGAAGCCACGGCCTGCAGTCCTGGCATCCCATATGGGTGCCTATTCGAGCCCCAGCGTTCTGCTTCTGACCCAGCTTCCTGGAGCAGAGGATTGCCCAAGCATTTGGACCTGGTATCCATGCACAGGACACGAAAGAAGCTCCTGGCCCCTGGCTTCAGCCTGGCCCAGCCCCGGCAGTTCTGCCGTCTGGGGCTGAACCAGCAGATCGAAGATCCACCTCTCTCTGCCTCTCAATCTGTAACTACGTTTCAAATACATAAAGTAAATTAAAAAAAAAAATGCTTACAGAATTTTAAAAATTATTTAATTACTTTGGTCAAGCTTTCCAATACCTGGTAAAAGAGTTCCTCTTATTTCAAAGGTGACCCGACACGGCGTCATTGTGAAGGAGTTACTTCAGGATGTCTAGCTAGGAGAAAAAAGAAGTCACTGGTTATAGTACAAGAAATTACTAGCTATAGACACTACATCATGAGACAAATTAAATCAATACCTATACTTGCATTTTAAAAATAATATTTAGTATCTTTGCAACTTCACGCTTCATTTGTTTTGAGAAAAACTGATGAGCTAAAGAAAAAAAATAAGCAAAAAATAAAAATGAATCATCTATGAGTAATTAACCAAACTATTATCTAGTCTCTAGCAAGTTTTAAGGCTTTATGTTACAAATCTATTTGGTTAGAATGCAAAAAACAGAAAAAGTACAAAGCAAATGTCCAAACTTTTTAAGGAGTCAAGATTCTCAGAAGCCACAAACTTTTGCTCCTGATAAGCACCTGCTACAAATTCAACCTATCTCTCCTGACCAGGATCAGGTTAGGGTGGAAGGAGAACACACAAGGACAAACATCTTCAAGCAGCTATAGGGGGGAAAACACAGAGGACACTGTTACTGCTTCCGTAAGTCACCAGGTTCGTTCCAGGAAAACCACAGCATTTGAGTACCACCACTGAAACAAACTAGCCGTCTCCAAGAAACTTGGGAATCTGCTTTTAACATGACAATGTAACTACTTTAAAAAATATATAAAACTTTTTTCCCCACACACACACACAAAAAAAACTCATATTTTTTCCTTAATCACACAAACATCATCATTCATGTTTTACAGGCTCAAACTGAGAGTTCCAATTCTATCATCAGTGACCAAGTCCTGTTGATTCTAATTGATCTCACACCCAATACTTTGTTTCTAAAGTGACCAACTTCATTCGAAACTGTTAAAGCCCCAAATCTATACTTGTACTTGGATTTCCAAATCTCTCACAATAATATAGGCTGTCAACTAAAAGCTTTCTCACATCTCTCCCTTGGAATCCCATTCCTCAAGTGTCTCTCACAGCTGGTCACTCAATTTCTCTATTGCTCCCTACCCAACCCCTTGCCCCCACAGGCAAGCACAGTGATCCCATCATGAACAACAGTCACCCACACTTCTCGGCATCAGCTTTCTATCAGTAGTTCTCACTGGAAGCAATTTAGCTGTCCAGGATTTATCTGGTCAGTGGGCCCCTTTGGTTCCCAGGATCGGGGAATGATGTGCCTGGTGTTTGGGAGGGCTGCAGGCTCCGGTCCATGCACCAACAGCCTCTGCAACTACCTGTCTAGCTCCCAGCATCCCCAGGGCTTAGGCTGAGCAGCCTGATTCCTAGCCTCATTAAGGTCTTTCAGGGGATGGAGGAGTGAAGAGGCCCAGCTCAGAGCGACCTATAGGCCATGGTTCTTCTTATCCATGGCACCTACACGATGAAGCTCTGAATATTACATAGGTATAATGTTGAACAGGTAAACAAAACAAGAGCAGCAGCCAGGCTGGTGGTATGTTAGACTTGGAGCAGAAGTCTTTATTTGGCAACTCCACAATTTCAGCTGCCCAACCCAAGCCTCTGCACTGCAGAGAACCTGTCCTTGAGCAGAATGACTTCAAGAGCCCTGCTCTACCTTCTGTGTAAACACAATCTATTTAAAGGCATCCACTCAGTCCTAGCACTGCGGAGGCGCACTCTAAAAGCAAGGGAGCCTCCAGTCACTCCTTCACCGGCCTGCTGCGCACAGACCCTCTCAGCAGCTCTCTTTTCATGTGGCATTTGACATGAATTTGTGTCCGACCCTATGAATGTTTCCTCTCCTAATCAGAGCATTCTTCAAAACACCACAATCTTACATTTAATTCTGCATATCTTCAGCATATCTAAGCTCAGCTTTCACATTACTGAATCAAGTTCAAGGAGTAGAAAAAGCCTCAACATCCAGCAAAACGGCTGGAAAACCAACCTTAATCTCGTACTTTGACCAGGTGCTCAAACTAAGCAGCATCTCCAGTACATGATTACCCAATTGGCACTCAGTTATCTGTTAACCTATTCTAAATTACTATTTTAACGAATTTCAAGGAAACCAGATGTAAGTATTCTAATGCATTAAGATCAACAGCTGGTACAAAGTCATCTCTTGATTTCTAGTGCATTATGACCAATAGGAAATACACATACTTTTTAGAAATCATAAAGAGGATTACTAAAATCGAATCTTTTATTCTTAAAGCTGTTTATGAAGTGGCTATCCTAGCTTACTCCTGAACAGATGAAGTAACTGTACCATACAAAGCACAAAAGCACACAGCACAAAATGACTCCCCAGAATACCCCCTAAGGCAATAAAGCATCATCAGATTCCGCTTGTGCATGACCAAAGTCAAGAAAGCCAGTCCAATTTCCACCCATCAAAAGGCACTACCGCAGCAAAGAAAGGCAGGGGACTGCATGCCTGCCGGCTGCGAGATCACGGACTGAGGCCCAGGGACACCCAGCAGCGACAGAGGAAAACAGCTGCTTCACCCATACTTCCTCTTCCCACCAACACAATCAACCCAACTCTGAGGGAGGGAGCCTCCCAGAAGACACACAGAACCAAAAGGTAAAAGAAAATGCTGAGCCTCACATGGGTGTGAACTGACCCAAACACTAGGCGGCCAGGCCAGGTCACCGACCACCTCGTGTGCGCGCTGTACTTCTGACTCAGGCTTTTGTTTGAAATCTAACCTCCACGTTGTGTTTTTTTGTGATTGTGCCTAATTTTTAGCAGCAGCTGAACATTTTGTAAAGGCTCAAGCAGGTAGCAAAATACAGCTCTGGGACTGGCCACAAGATACACTTGAGAGTTGACACTACCTACAAAATCATTACATTTTTAAAACAACAAACGTTGCCAACCAGCGCCTGACCTGTATCACCAGCTTTTAGAGCCAAAGGATTTAGGGAACCCAAGGTGCACGAACATTTACTTAACAACTGAATTTTAGTCAGATATTTTTAGCCAAACCGTATTTATGGCCAAAAAAAAGAGAGAGAGAGAGAGAACATCTCTACTTTCTCTCATTTTTCTTTTTTCCAAGGGGAAAGCTGTGTGCAATGCTTGCTCTTTCCTCGGTCCCAGCAGCTCTGCCGCTGCTCTAACTACAAGGATGCGCCCCCAGGAGAGGCCCGCATCCGTTCCTCCCCGTTTGGTGCAGCGTCAGCACCACCCCACACTGCAAGCCAGTGTCAGAGGTGTGCGCACGCCAGGGGCTCCATCAGGGGAAACAGATGTCATTCCGCCAAGTTAACTCCTAAACAATGCGGTAACAGTGTTCCATTTATTCTGATACCGTGGACTTCCCATGCTGGCTACACACACCGGTACGTGGGACCTCATCGGAGAATTTCACCCTGCCCCTGGGAAACGTCCTTCTGCGGCTGCCGCTGCGGCGGACTCCGCGCTCTGCCAGGAGGCTGCTGCCCCGCGTCCTTCGGCCAGCAAGGGACTGGGCCACGGGCAGTTTTACCTCAACTGGCCTTGGGATCTCCGGCACGCCACGAATTGGGGGGGTTGAAGGGGAGGGCGGATAGCCAAAATTCATTTCTGAGTTATGTAAAAAAAAAAAAAAAAAGTCCGGCAGCTTGGTAGCAAGAGAGAAGTAGCAACAACCGGACAGAAACGGGGAACGGGACAGACGTCCTGGCACCTTTGAGCAGTTCCTGCACGCAACAGCTGCTAAGGTTTGCTATGGGGCAGGAGCATGCTCCAGAACGCGAGCCCGATCCCTTTCCACCTGGCCCGCGGACGCCGGGCTGGGCTGGGGGAGCTCCGGAAGCCTCCGACCGAGGGAGGCTTGACCCTGGCGGAGATCTCACCTCGACGAGGACACTCCTGACCCGCGCCTGGGACAGGACCGCTGCAGGCGGGAGGGACGGCATCCCAGCGCCCTTCGCTGCCCGCCTGGCCACACACACACACACACACACACCACAGACTTGTCCGACCCCGCTGGGGCAGCGTCGGCGGAGCAGCAGTCGGTGCCACCCCGGGCGGCGGCGTTGGGGGGCCGGGGGACCCCACCTCCCAGCCCCCGGGGGTCCCGAGCTGCCCGTTCCCCAGCCTTTTGTTCCCGAACGCAGGGGGCTCCGGGGCTGCGCCCGCGGCCCAACGGAACGGCAGCAGCCAACAATGAGGAGAGTCCGAGCCGCAGCCCGGCCCCCCGGGCCGCCCCGTCCCAGACCCGCAGACCCCCCGTGCCCCGCCGCGGCCGCCCTGACGCCTCGGCCTGCCACGTGAGCGGCCGCCCGCCTCACCTGCGGGCTCCGCGTGTCCGGCCGAGAGCGAGGGCCGCGGGCCGAGGTGCCGGGCGCCCGCCGTCCGCGCCTCGCCAGCGCTCCTCCAGGCGGCCCGCGGCGGTGCCGAGCGCTGCCAAGCGCCTCCGCTCAAACCGGTTTCAGCTGCTCCAGACCAAACTGCCAGGCCACCCCGCGGGGCGGGGCCGGAGGCCGCCGGGGCGGGGCCTGACGTCACGCCCGGCACGGCCTCGGCCAATCGGCGGGGACGCGCTGGGGGCGGGCCCAAGCGTTCCTGGAAAGGGCTGGCGACGGCGGCCGACGTGGCCGGGCATCCCCAGGTTCCCCGCCGTCAGACTCCGCCTGGGACCCCGGGCCGCTGGGTGGTGGCGGCGCGCGACGCGTGGCCCGAGATTGGAGAGGAAGCCGGCCGTTCTCCTGTGAAGTGGTGGAAGGAAACAGAAGAAAATGACGACAACTGGCAGGCCTGGCATTTCCAGGAAACTTTGGCCCGTCACAGTTGGATGAGATGATTACAGTCGGCCGCGAGGGAGAATAACCTGAAGGTGGTTGAATTTACGTCTTTGCTAAGCAAAATATGATTTGCATCACCTGGGAGCGGCCAGGGCCACCTCATTCCTCCTAATTAAATCTGCCCTTGGTGGGGGGCGGACAGGTTTTGTGGCATATCCGCTAAACCTACCTTCCAAATGAGTAAAACTAATCTATATATTTTTAAATCAACAGTTGGCAGTCCGTCCCCAAGGATGTTCATCTGCCAACATAAGACTGAAAATTTTTGAGAAGATTTATTTATTTAAAAGAGAGAGAGAAGAGGAGAGGGACTCTTCCATCCCCTGGTTCAGTCCCCAAATAGCTGCCGCAGGCTAA